CCGTTCGACGCTCGGCGACGCGTAGTTGTTTCCTTAGCCGTACCTTACGTACTTTTAACTTTATCTCCTCCTCCTTAATCTTCTCGATCTCTAGACGAAGCTTCTCCCTAGTATCGCGAAGCTTTTCCTACTAAGGATAGGAGACGCGTACGTCGTAGTCCTTATACCCTTTCCGGATATACTTAGAACACTTACCGGATCGCGGACCTACGATATACTTAGGACGATCGGGAAGAGAGTACCGGACTTTTCTACAGTTTAAATAAGGAGCTATTTCGATACCGCTTACTTCGGTTTCCGTAGCGAGCTTCTTTTAACGAGTAGAGGAAGAAGAAGATATCGTTACCTTACGAAAGATAAGGAACGTTATACTCGTTATAACTACGGAAGCTTCGGGACGAAGCTAGGCTAGAAGGGAGATAGTATTACGAGTTAATTAGACTGTACCTATAGCTACGACTAATTAAGGTAGACATAGTAGAGCACTAACTAGGCAGTTAGTAAGGGAGTAATTAGTATAATTAGTCTACTTAGTAACTAGTTTAATTAGTCTACTTAGTAATTAGTTTAATTAGTCTACTTAGTAATTAGTTTAATTAGTTCACCCGCCGTAGATAGAAGTATATAGGAACACTAAGAATGCCTCTAGCTTTCGATATATTTAACTTACTATAGTATCTTACTACTTAGAATCTAATCCCTTAAGTTACTATACTACTCTATCGCTTCACTCTTCCTCTACTAGACCTCTCTACTAACGAGCCTAATACCGATTAAGCCTTATACAAGTAATCCTTGTATATTGTGAGATTATTAAGTTATAGACTTAACACTTTCTTCCGAGAATTCCGGTATCTCTAGTTCTTCCGGAAGCTAAGGTAGCTGTTTGTTACCTTCTTCCTCGCTGTCTTATTCTTCCTCGGGCGTTAGATTTTCCTTATCTAACTCTTCCTCGCTAACCGGTATAGGTAGCTCGAGTCTACGTAGCTCCTCTAGTATAGGTAGAAGTCGGTATCTATCGGTCCTTTCTTCGTCGTTATCGGGCCGCGGATCCTATATAGGTAATAGTAGTCGTTATAGCTAGTATCCTACTCCTATCTTTAAGGAATAATATTCTTAGTATAAGTCGTCGTAATAGTATCTCTAATAAAGGGTACCGTACTTTTCCTTACGACGTACTATTACTCTAAAGAGTCGGGGTTCCTTTTTCTCGTCGAGGGTAGGCATATTATATACTCCTCGTCCCGATCTTAGTTAAATTATATTAAACTACTCGCGGCGTACTATATTCTTACCGTAGCAATCCCGTACTATATATCCTTCTTTTCTATAAGTATAGTAAGTTAGTTTTCCTATATTTTTCCTTCGAGGCGAGTTCTTACCTTATATCTTACGACCTTTCTAGGTAGCGTCGAGTTCTATAGGCTACGGTCTATAGTAGGGTTAATATAATTGATTTGTCTTATTAAACCGTAGGTTATAATTGCCCTAGTATCGCCTTTCGGAAATGTACCTAGCGCGTCCTAATATTTTCGAATCGTAACGCCTTTCTATTACTCGTTCGTAGAGCTTATTACTAAGATCGATTGTAACCTAAACTAGTTCTCCTAGGTCTTCGATTAATCGCCTATCGCGTATTAATTCGTCCTTAATATTATCCTTTAGTCCTCGTTAGTATATCGTTTAAAGTGCTTCGTCGTCCTAGTCGGTAAGTTAAGCGTGTTCCTAGAACTTAGCGGCATATTCGGTAGTAGAGGTACGTTGCGTAAGGTACTAAATAACTCGTACGGCGGTCGATTGTTCGTTAGATATACTAAACACGGTCTTTATAGAGGTCTTAAGGTGTTAGTATAACTTAAAGATTCCGTTTCCTAATTTCGTATCGCTAGAGTCGAGGTATTCGTAGAGAAAAGGTTTAACCTAATACTATATACGTCCTCTTAAAAAGGTAGTAGTAAAGACAGGCTTAAGACGTTCTTCTATAGAGTTAAAGAGAAAGTAGAGGTCTATCTAGTTAACCTAGGTATTATACTTCTCGTAGTTACTATAGTAGAAGTCCGGCTTACCGACCTTAAGGTTCTTATCTCCTTCGTACGTAGCTAAAGCCTAAATAGCTTCGTTAGTCCTTAGTCGTCCTACTTTACTAGGGGCGGGAGTTCCCCTAGAACTTCGTTAATTAGATATCCTCGAGGGTGTTTAAAGCTATTAAGTCTATAACTTAATAATCTTATAATATATAAGGATCACTTATATAAGGCTTAATCGGTATTAGGCTCGTTAGTAGAGAGGTCTAGTAGAGGAAGAGTAAAGCGATAGAGTAATATAGTAACTTAAGAGATTATATTCTAAGTAGTAAGATGCTATAGTAAGTTAAATATATCGAAAGCTAGAGGCATTCTTAGTGTTCCTATATAGATTTCTAGTTCGACTAACTTGTCCTACCTACTAGCTAGAAACTAGCTATCCGACTAGAGCTATAGTCGAACGGTCGAACTTATTACGTAGTCCTCCTCGTAGAGTTCGACTACCGGCTCCTCCCGTTAGTCGAACACGTGACACGTGACGTGCCTCGCTACACGCGTAGAGTCTCTCTTCTACTTTACTAGCTAGGAATTCTCGAAGTAGCCTCGCTCCTATTTCGATCCGTAATACATTCTTAGTGTTCCTATATAGATTTCTAGTTCGACTAACTTGTCCTACCTACTAGCTAGAAACTAGCTATCCGACTAGAGCTATAGTCGAACGGTCGAACTTATTACGTAGTCTTTCTTATAGAGTTCGACTATCGGCTCCTCCCGTTAGTCGAATACGTAATACGTAACGTACCTCGCTATACGCGTAGGGTCTCTCTTCTACTTTACTAGCTAGGAATTCTCGAAGTAGCCTCGCTCCTACTTCGATCCGTAATATTAATAAGCTAAAGGGCCTTAAGGCTAGTACTAGCTAGTAGCGCTCGGAATTCGAACGACGACTAGACAGCCTTATTATTAAGCTTAAGGTAGTTAAGATAGAGCGAAAGCTAAATAGTAAGAGCTACGAGTCGATCTAGTAGTACTAAACGGCCTAAGACGAGTTCCGGAAGGGTTTAATTACTAGTACTAATAGTAAACTAGCTAATAATCTACTTAGTTACGTAGGCTACGTTAGTATAAAGCGTAAATAGGCTCTTAAAGCTAAGGATAGACTTAGTACTCGTATAGACGGCTAACTTAAGGCTCTTTAAGAGTAGTAGGCCTCTATTTATTAGGTAAAGATAGCTAAAAAGAGGCGTTAATACCGTAAAGAGATAGAGCTCCGGCGTAAAGAGCTATAGGCGCGGATTAGTAGTAGTAGTACCGATAGCGTAGTAACTGCCTTACGAGCGGATCTTAATAGATTAAGTAGTCGCTATATTACGCTCGAATCTAAGGTAGACAGCGGCTTCGATAGGCTTCTAGTAGCTATTCGAGGTACTAGGTATAGTAGTAGTAGTAGTAGAAGATCTCTAGTAACGCCTAGTATAGATTAGATAGTATAGTAGTAGTTTATTCGCTAGTACGGTACGAAATTAGTAGTATAATTAATAATATAAGGTCTACTTTAAGTCTATAAGTTACTACTTTTACTATCCGTAGACGAAGAGATAGACGTAGGTAGTAGTAGAGTAGGCTATAATACGTAAGTAGGTCGTAGGCGATCCGGTCGCGTTACGTAGTAAGATTATATAACGTAAGGCCTTATAAAGGCTCTACGGAGACCTTACGAACCCCTTACGATCTAGTGCCGAGATATTACGTAATAACGTTACGTATAGGGAGGCCCTATAGAGGCCTTACGAACCCCTTACGAGTCGGTTACAAGTCGGTCCGGAGCTTACTCTAGTAGTTATATAATACTTAGTATATATCCCCGGATATTAATAGGTCGTACGACCTACTCTTAGTCTCTTTAGGATTATTCTAGTATATATTACTATACCTATACTACTACATTCCTAGACATTATACTAATATCCCTATATCTATATAGTAATCTATTACAGTTTAAAGCTATTAAGTCTATAACTTAATAATCTTATAATATATAAGGATTACTTATATAAGGCTTAATCGGTATTAGGCTCGTTAGTAGAGAGGTCTAGTAGAGGAAGAGTGAAGCGATAGAGTAATATAGTAACTTAAGGGATTGTATTCTAAGTAGTAAGATACTATAGTAAGTTAAATATATCGAAAGCTAGAGGCATTCTTAGTATTCCTATATAGATTTCTAGTTCTACTAACTTGTCCTGCCTACTAGCTAGAAACTAGCTATCCGACTAGAGCTATAGTCGAACGGTCGAACTTGTTACGTAGTCCTTCTCGTAGAGTTCGACTACCGGCTTCTTCCGTTAGTCGAATACGTAACACGTAACGTACCTCGCTGTACGCGTAGGGTCTCTCTTCTATTTCACTAGCTAGGAATTCTCGAAGTGGCCTCGCTCCTACTTCGATCCGTAACATTTCGTATATTAAAATCCTAATATATATAGATATATAAATAAGTAGAAGAAGCGTAAAGAGCTAGTAGAGCTACTATCGGAGATTGAATCGAGTCTTAAATAGTCTCTTTATCAATACTGGAACCATTACGTACGATAACTCACCAGGGTACGGGTGGGCAGCCGGAGCGTACAGAAGCACTGTCCGGGGTGTACGCTATAGGAGAAACGGGGTTGCCCGTGTTTCATCTTCTGCCCACACGCCCCTGCCCCTCTCGCTAGTCAGGTCTCGTGATCTGTCTGCGGTTCGGCATTCGACTGTAGCCGCGCGGTACCTGGACGATCATATAGAAAAAGTGCAAAGGCGGAACGCGCTGTCAAAGTCCCTGCAGCGAGGGCTTGCAATTAATTCACTTGTCAATAATCTCTAGTGATCGAGGACCGAGCGTTCTCCAACCATCTCAAGTCTTCGTCAACACTATCCGAACAGAGTGCAGCGCCTACGAGACCTCCTTGATCGCTGCTGAGCTATCGACCTCCTGCTTTAGAACCCATCGTTGATTCCCTTTGCCTGCTCTTCTGAGAGCCGTCTGTCGTTGATCGTCCACCACCACTCGTTGCTCGCGTCTCTGTCAGCCTGGCTCTTGTCCTCTTGCGTCTCATCCCAAGGCTTTGGAGCAAGTATGTAATGAATGTTCTTCACCCGGTTGTCCCGCCATATCGCATCATGCACGCCCTTCCACCGCAAGGTCTTGAGCGCGTTGTAGGTGTATGGCAGAGCTACCCAGCGTCCGTAGAACAAGTCACCCAACAGGCTCTGGTCCGCGAAGTCATAATCCGCGATATTCGAGTCCTGCAGCTTGGTCCAGATCAAGTTATACACCTCCTCGCTTGGAACGACTACCTGTAGACCCCCATTGGGCATAGCCAATCCCTCAGCTGGACCAGCGCCTGTCTCTTGCGCATCGTCTGGTTTGGTATGCTGCGAAGTGAAGGCACAGTTCTCCGGTATCCAATCTTTGGGATAGTGAGGCTTCTTGAGTGGATTACACACACAAGCATGGCTCGCCGCAAATACGCGCTGGCCTTTGCCTGCCAACTCCCGCCCATCCAGAGGAATATCCATCAGCTCGTCCATATTTTGCAATGCCAGCATATCGCTGTCCAGCTGCACCACACGCTCGTATTCCACCAAGCTGAATGGGTTCAGCTTGGACCAGCAGTCGTAGAAGCGCGGATCGTTGGTGTAGTCCTTGTGCGTACTGGGTAAGAGATAGTTCACTCGCTTCTTGGGGATCTTTCGCGCATCCAGCGCTGCATGGCCTTCTGCGGGAAAAGTATCCGTGTAGAGCGCGACGAGCGGATACTTGGATCCGACGAACTTGAGCGATGCATCGAGGGTGAGAAGGCCCGAGAGGTAGTTGGTGTTCGTGATGAGTGTTGTCCAGACTTTGCTGCTATCGACGACGCGCTGGGCGCCGGGGTTGATTCCGCCGTTGGCTTGGTTGTGAGACATATCGGAGAGGCAGGTAGTGTACTTAGCTCTTGCAGGCAACCTTGATGGTTGAGGATACAGTGCGGACTACATCTTGGAGAGAAGTGCACCAATGATTCGGGAGTCTGGGTCGCAAGCTTCCAAACTTGTCATCCGTAATCAAAAACCGACGCAGGGATCATGGAATACGTAATTACACCGTTTTGACTTTACGGTCACTGCCGCAACATCTTCGGAGTGATGATGTTGTCGCCGGGCGGAACATTCACGCTTACCCTTTATCATCCCAATCAACCTCTCTCTTCGATTGCCGCTCCATCGAGATGCTCGCTGTAAGAGACGACTCTTCCTTCCATTCTCAATGTCTGCAACGGTGAGCAATAATGTCTCATCGGCGAGGCGTGCAGATGGTAAGGAGGCCATAGCCAGCTCCTCCAAAGGCGGCAACTACAAAGGCTTTGTCGCCGGTGTCTTCTCTGGAATCGCAAAGTTGAGCGTGGGGTATGTGCCCGACTCTGGTATAATTTGAAGGAATCCGGTTCTGACGCCCGACAACAGACATCCGTTCGACACAATCAAAGTACGCCTGCAGACTTCGAAGCACTCTCAGTTCAAGGGACCGCTTGATTGCCTTCTGCAGACGCTCCGCAAAGAAGGCATCAATGGCATCTACAAGGTCGATCAACTCAGCGCTGCAGTGCCTAAATATCTGGCTGATACTCTACACAGGGAGCGACGCCACCGTTCATCGGATGGATGTGCATGGACAGTGTCATGCTGGGCTCCTTGACATTATACCGCCGCCTTTTGAACGAGCATGTCTTCCAACCTATGCGTGCCCGGCAATCTCACCCTGCCATCTGGATGAGCGATGACGAGAGGAAGAAGTTACCCGCCGTTGGCCATGGTATCGCGGGCATGTTCGCCGGTTGGACCGTCTCCTTCATCGCTGCCCCAGTCGAACACGTGAAGGCCAGGCTACAGGTCCAGTATCAGGCCAGCAAAGCTGAGAGACTCTACCATGGACCGATCGACTGTGCGCGGAGAATCTTCTCTGGCCACGGTGTCCGAGGACTATGGCATGGTCTATCCGCTACCCTGGTCTTTCGGACCTTCTTCTTCGCGTGGTGGGGAACATACGACATATTCACTCGATGGTTTCAGAAGAACACAAATCTCAGCGCACCGGCGATCAACTTCTGGGCCGGCGGTCTCTCTGCACAGGTCTTCTGGCTGACCTCATACCCATCAGGTAACAGCCCTAACCCGTTGCTCAGGGCGTCACTGCTGACAGCATTCTTCCAGACGTCGTCAAACAGAGAATCCTGACCGATACCCTCGGCCCCGAGCGAAAATTCCCGCACTGGAGGAACGCAGCCGTTGCCGTCTATCGCGAATCCGGCCTGAAAGGATATTGGAGAGGCTTTGTACCATGTTTCCTGCGCGCATTTCCAGCGAATGCAATGGCGCTGGTGGCATTTGAAGGCGTTATGAGGGCTTTGAATTGAGGCATGTATTCACATCTTATCTCGTCTCAGGTTACTCGTTGCCCATGACTACCATGGCTCCATCAAGTACACATCAGAACTCCCACTCAACTCCTGACTATTGTACAGAAACACAAAAGACATAATTCCACCGCTCGAATCATTCCACTTTCAGCACTGGAGCGTAGGGAGAGTGGTAGACTGGAGGTTGGGTGGCCGCCTCGTACGAGACATCGTAGGGCTGGGGATCGGTTTCGATGCTCTGCTGAATACTCATGTGCGAAGGGTCACGCATCGCCTCGAAGAATTCATCGGAAGAGGTACCCTGCAACTTCTCGAAAGACGCTCGAGGCCGACGTATCACCTGCGGCGGGGAATCGGAAGAATCGTGAGCAGCATCGGGTGTTTGAATTGATGAGAAGGAGGGCGCTGATGCGTGCTCGACGGCGTCGCTGAATTGGACCTTTCGCTTTGTTGGCCTCACGTTCTCCGGCTCGAATTCGCCTTGTACTGGCTGGAGCGGTCTTATCCGCTTCAGAGCCGGTTTGGTAGGACTGTTTGTTGCTGAGGCACGAAGCGGGGCCAGCGGAGCGACCGGTCTCACTTGGCTGGGAGGACTGCCTCTGACAGGCTCAGGCTGTTGACCACCATCGAACCGAGTACGAACTGGCATGAAGCCGTCATTGGTGGCAAAGTCGAAGGGAAAGGGATTAGGCGGGCTCTCGGGTGTGTTGAAGCCACCGGCGTTCCGGGTCTTGGAGGCAGGCACTAGCCCGGCTCCCTTCAACATGGACATGGAGCTACTCGGCCAGACGGACGACCGAGCAGTGCACTCTCGACGAAGCGGAATCTTTGCGTTTGGCGGAGGGGGAGCACTGGAGAGACCATAATCGAGCCACGCTCCGGGAGCTGTTGAGCTTACAGGGGCCGTCTGGACAGACGTCGACGGGCTCGAGATCCCGGTGTGAAGGCCAAGGCCATGTACCGGTGCCCGATGCCTAGCTGCTATAGAGTGTGTGTCCGCCGCATTGTGCGCTTGTGCCTGCTGAGGCGTCCCTTGTGGCCTGGACAATTGCCTCGGCGGTGGCATGCGCTCGATCGGGGACGGGCTTGTGGGGGAAACCAACTCAGGCATGCTCGGCACGCCGTAATGATGCCTCACAATGCTGTACCATCTCTCCACCTGGCCCGGATCACCTGTGGGACACTCAATCAGCTCGACACGAGTCTCAAGTGGTGCAGGATCACTCACAACCGCACTGTGCAATTGTCAACAGGCACTGCTGGATGTCCGGCGGAATGCTCGAGACCGACTCGTAGAGGGTTGCCAACCAAGCTGCACGTTCCATCCTGCTTGTGCTGTGGAAGCAGTATGGAATTGCTGAAACGATCGACATCGACCAAGTGCTGTTGGTTCAGCTCGGTGGTGCCGAATGGCATAGAAGGTCTGTGGTATGATCGATGTGTGTTGTTCGCCACGAACGAAGAGCAAAGACCAAGGAGAGACCCAAGGAAAAAGGCAGATAGAAAGGAAATCTTCAATCGACAATGAACAGATCCGCTGGATGAAAGACAAACTGAGCAGGCCATATCACAGACGGCATCGCTCCAGTCTTTTATGTCGCCATTGGTAACAGCTGGACGTCCGGGGTGGCGTCCACATCTGTGCCACTGGGTCACGTCTCGAAGAGTCTCGTCGAGGTGTGGCGTGCAGTGTGCTTGCCTCGATGTAGAAAGATGTGTGCGGCGCAGGGAGGCCAAAAGGCGAACAGAGTAAGGTAGGAACCAGAACCCGCTCCCATCAGCATTCGCTCGCGGAGCTGCACCGCTTCAGGAACCGGCGCTCCAGGTACCCGCCTTGCTTGCGTCTTTATGCTATAACGGGCGCATGTCTAGCCTCACAGCTGTGGGCTGCATCCGAGATGTTAGTGATTACAGTCGATGGGTCTTCTTTCCGAGTTCGGTCCCAGAAGGCATATCGATGCCGACAGAGCGCATTGCAATTGCTCGTCCACTCCCAACACCACTGATTCATTTCCAATTCATTCTCCAACGCACACCTTGGTTCATGTGACCCTAAGTCGCGATTGTGGCCCAGTTCTCTAGATCTCCCAACACGCGGCTAATAACTGCTGGAAATAGAGCGCACCAGACAATGCCCGCAGCGCTTGCGACTCCCAGCCAGCGGGGCCCAAGTGTGAGTTTTTAAACTTCTGTGCCTCACCTCACTGAGGCACCCGACTCAACCTACCTGCCTTTTAATGCAACAGGTGAGGGAGCGTTATTCTTGTCTTCTGGAACACACCACGACATGCACTCCAAATCCACGTCTCGGCCTATTGGCACATTTTGCCTTCCACCTGCAAACAATTGTCGGATCCAGAAGCGCTTTACCTTGCCTTGCCATGCGGCTGTCTGTTGTCTCTACGCCCGCGGGAGCTGATCGTCATCCATCGCATTGACTTTTCGGTACCGAGCTTTGCGACATGCGCCAGAAGGTATAGACGGCATAAGAACGACGACAACAATACCGCTCTCTGGGTAGAGGCCTTTTCTCTGGAAATAGCAGTGGCTGGAGAGGATATCCCGGTGAGTGAAGATGGAGGTTTCTGATTATACATTATAGAGACAGAAGAGGACCTTATCACAAGCGCCAGTTGATTCGCCGCATCTAACCAAAGGCCGAGAAGCTTTGACTTCATCGAATAGTTTTGAGCCGATCAAAGACCCTGGCGCGCGGGTAAAAGATGGCTCTGACAAGGCTTCTTGTTGCCAGCCTGCGGCGGCAAAGGAGGTGTCGCATTGATGGATGCAACAATGGAAAGCCCAAGTCCAGGGGGCCCGCTTCGTTCTCGATGTCGGCAAACAGCTGGGCGCCGGCTGCAGTCACAGCAGGACTATCTTTAACAGAATTCGCAGCGTTATCAAGGATCACAACGCCCTCGCCAGAGCTGTAGGAATCGTGATTTGGGTAATTCGGGACCATGAAGCCACCTCCAATCAGGAAGGAGTTGCTCAACGTATGTTCGTTGTATATCGATGAAAGGCCGCTCCCTTGGTCAGAATGGAATACTGAAGGGGCGCTCTGATCCGATCCAGCATAGACTATCGAGTTATTGCTCATACTCGACCCCGAGCGTGGATCAGAGCTTGGTGCAGGTTGGTCAAAACCTGAGCAGGGAAGCCCGTACAAAAAGAGCGACTTTAAGTGTGGGCGCGCGGCCAGCGGCGCCTGCTGGGATGGATATTTGGCGAGTGGAACTTGCATCCTACGGATTCTTCAATTGCACCAGGGAAGCGGTAGGGCATAAAGGTAGCAGTACATTAATCTCTATGTAAGGCTGCGTCATGGATTGTTAGTGATGTAAAGAACGAAAGTCTCCAGAATACAACAACAACATCAGAAGAACGAGTGTATTAAAGGACTCTGGTTGCTCCCGAGAAGCTGCTACAACGAGGACTATTATACCTTTTCTTACAAGGAAGGGCGTGTCGGTGGCAGAGCGGCCTGAGCGATATTTGCACTCGCATGCCGCCCATTTGTCTCCGGTGACGAGAGAATGGTCATGCGGTGCGCCTGAGAGCAAGGCAACAGCTGCTCCAGAGAAGACGATAGAAAAGAACGCCCATGGACATCGTCATCCAGAGATCTAGTGTAGACAGCCTCACTTACAAGACGCCTTCCGCTTGGCTTCTTCGCGTCTAGCTCTTACGGCGTGCGTACGTGCAGACCATGCTCAGAGCGTATGTCTCGAAGTAGCGTTTCAGAATGGCGCCCTTCGAGTTTCAGGCGGGGAGGACTCGTCCATGCCGCAAACTCATTCACCAGAGGAGAAGCACCTCACAACCCGGCAACCCGTAGCAGTATAATTCTCGCGTATTGCTGTGGCAAATCCAGGTCAGTCTGCTGGCAATGCCAAGTAGCCGTCGTGCGCAGTGGTTGCGCCCGGTATAGTGCCAACGACACGGCGAGTCTCTTTGTTGCGGACTGCACCGGCCAGAAGGGTGAGTGTGCTCTTCGGCATGCTCATCATGGCCTGCCGGTCTAGAACTGAGCGTCCGAAAGAACATCAAGCAGGCGCAGGCTCAGTTCGAGGCAACGACCCAGCCAGCAGCGTCTGGAAAGAAGTCTGCGCAATGACCTCGAGGCGCATAATCCTCTGGTGGTGCTGCGACAGGCACGCAGTCACCGCCATGCGGCACTGCGATGGCGTCCAGCTGAGCTTGGCTGCATGGCGCCCGGAGACCGGCCACTCGTCGTGTACATGTTCCTGCAGCTCACGTGGTCACATTGCAACTGCGCAGCCGTTTGCCTGAACCCAAGGGATGGTATGCCGGCATTGGATCGGAGGGGCCGAAGAGGCGAAGAGGCCAGATGCCGAGTTTGGCCAGTCCATTGCGCGGAGCCATGCGGTCTGTTGGGCAAGGCAGCAATGCAGAAAGATGCAGCTGGACGGCGCCGTGTGTTGGCAGCTCGATGGCGTAGAAATGGAACAGTCGATGGATGGATGGATGAATGGATGGGGAGGAGAGAGAAATGGAAGGCAGATGGAGTGAGGTCGCAACAAAGTGATGACGCGACTCATGGATCCTTGTCAGAGACGTCGGTGTGTGGTGGCACGAGCGCGAGCCCCCTCCATCTCTGAAACGACGTGGGCCTGCAGGATGAAACGCTCCAGTCACAACCAGCAAGTTGGAGGTCTCAGAGTGGGCATAGCATAGCAGCCGTACTCCTCCACCGATGCATGGCCGACCGCGTCCCACCACACTCCATCCAGACATCGACCCCTCGGCTTCTGCCGCCCTCACCTCCAATGGAACCCAATCAACGCAGTCGTCAATCGAGGCTGTGGAATTCGTGATATACAAGCAAGGCTTTTGAACAGAGCATGCTTCTATAGTTTATATGCCCCCGGGACATCGCCACCAACGCCATGCAAGTACTCGTTACCCTATTCGTTGTAGTGGTAGACCTACACGTTTGTGAGCCATCAGCTCGGGTGGGGAAGGACCATGTGAAACTTACATAGTAATTCGGTAATCCGTACGATTTCCAATTCAGCCTCTGCGCCATCTTGGCAAATCCCTCCGTCTCAATAAGATGGTAGAATGGAAATGGTGGGAACATGGCTCCATCTCGGTGCACATCTGCCTTGACAAGCAGAGCGGTGCCTCCAACGCCGTCTAGCTCGACCTCCTTTCTCGGATCGCCATGGTCCTCTGAGACTGGTCAGCAAGTCATGCGAACATCTTGGCATACTGTTCCGTACCCGACATGTACGCCATCAGCGCCCGATACGTCGCCATCTCCGCATATCCTTCCAGAAGGATTTCATCCGGACCCATCTTGGCCGCAAGACCTTGAGCAGTGGGCGAGTCTACCCAGCTGTTGAAGTCGTACGGTCGCGTATCTTCGGCTTCCTTGTCCTTGTTGTAATATCTTTGGAAGCAGTTTGGCACAATGATTGGCTTGTCGTGAGAAGCCAAGTCCTCGACGAGAGAGTGCGGTGTCTCAACAATGTCGCTGTCGAGCCAAAGCACCCACGATGTCGTTGGACCCAGTGTTGTGAAGAGCAAGCTATTCCTGGCTCTGCTCATTGCAGCCCTTCTCTCTTTCTGTGCGGCAATCGCATGCCGCTCCGACTCCGTTTGCGACACGGGCGGCTCGCTGTCCTGTCGCAAGATCGTGATCGAGGCAAATCGGTTCTTGTTCGTCGGCAATTGTGTCTTTGCTATCCTCTCTTGTAGCTGCTGTGTGGCCAGGTTTCCTTCTCGTCCCTTCGGTATGATGAAGCCCAACGAAATCAGCTCGTGTGGGTAGGAAAGCTTGCATAGATTGTCCCAGTATCCCTGATAAAACCTCGCCAGCGGTGTTAATATGAGGATGGACTCCCTGTTCCCGATTGGATCGCTGGTCGTCGTGACGTTGTTCATATGGTAGTGGACCACCGGGGGCGGAGGCGCAACTTCGTTTGGACCCAATTGCGCGGGCTTGCGGAAGGGCAAGGAGGGAGGAGAGAGGGCGTTCGAAGCGGCATCCTTGCTCTTCAACAGCTGCCGTGGCGCCGTGGTTACTGCGGCAATGTCTGCGCTGTCGCCAAAGAAGAAGTAGAGGAAGAAGATGCAGAGTGTGCCGGCGAGGATGTAGGTGATGGGACTGGTGCGCCGGAGGGAGCGCGACACCGCCATCGTGGGCGGTGACAGCGTCAGTGGCTGTATAGCAGAGCCGTCAGTCTACGTTCCTTTGAACAATTCGCAATCAACAGGTCATCAAACACCAGGCTGCGGGCAATGCGTAAAGTCGCGTGGCCCTTTGTTAGCGAAGTGGAAGGGGTACGCGCGGGCACTCACATTAGCAGGACTGCGCTGGCCAAAGCCTTTGGTGGTGCATTGGCGTAGTGTCCAGAATGTGTCGCCGAGGATACTTTGCGCTCATGAGGTCGTGAGCTCGTAGCAAGCTGAGCGGACGGGCATAGCGACAGATGATGCTGATGCGGACCGTCTTAATTTGGCATCGTCTTCCCTGCTCGGGCTGACCCGTGCGAGCGTGTTTCAGCTCCAAGTTTCAGCCTCGAAGCTTGTCACTCATTCACTCACTTCACATGAAAACCTGAAGGCACGTGCGATTGACAACAATGCTTTGCTGCTCTGGAAGCTACAACTAAACATGCAACATTTACACAAAGACATCAATTCAACGAGGTTGAGGCCCATGAACAGATCCTTTTCGTCCGTACACGGACGCCTCCTCCGATGGCCGCGGAGGCAAAGCTGGCATCGCTGTGCTCGAAGATAGTCTGGAAGCGTCGTGTCCAAACAGCCAGTCTTCTCTCAAGGTGGAGCCCCAGAATATAGGGTTGTCTTCCTCATTCGACTTCATCATCCGATCCCGGGCACGTTGCTCGGCACCATCATGTAGATGCAACCAGTCTTGCAGGACCCGAGTGTTACGTGCGATGTATGCGGCTCTGGGCTTTCTGCGACACTCATATGCCCTGAGTGCCTCGCCAATATTGCTGTACTCCCTCAGTGTCGCTGCAAGCGTTGCCGCATCTTCAGTAGCCTGTGCCGCTCCTTGAGCCATGTATGGGCTATCACCAATCAACACTAGTCAACAGATGCAAGGGCCCGGGAAGTTATCACTCACATCATGGGATGGCAGTTATCACCTAACAATGCGACCTTTCCACTCGGATGAACCCAGCTGTCAAGCTGAGCGAAGTCTGCAAGCCTCCATTTGAGGTATTCGCCAGTCATCGCGCAGAGCTTCCTCACCGCGGGACACCAATGTTTGAATCTTTCGACTAACTCGTTGTTACTCCTAGCGCTCTTCCAGATTTGCTCATCGCGCGGAAGCGGTTCGCCGAGATCAGAGGAATGTGTCACGTCGATGATGATGTTGTACAGTTCGCCTTGTCGAAGAGGATATCCCACGGCATGACCTTCAGGTCCCATCCAATGGGTTGCCCATGGCTCTCTAACCAAGGCGGCCATCTCTGCGTCTTCTAGGAGCGGCTTCGCATCCACTAGTATCCGATATGCCACATCTCCTGTGTCCTGAGGGGGCAGAGGCTGGCCATTGATGACGTCCCTGACCGCTGACTTGATGCCATCCGCTGCAATGATCAGATCTGCATGAAATGTCTCGCCGGTAGTCAATGTGACCGAAGGTGCTTCATAGTCATACGACGACACTTTGCAGCCGGTCTTAATGGAGATGTTAGAATTTTGCCGTGCCGTCGATACTAAAAGCTTAACAAGATCTGCTCGGTGGATGAAGAAGTATGGAGCTCCATAGCGGCTTTCTACATCGTGGAGAGGAACATCCAGTAATACGTTGCCTTTCCAGTCCACGAAACGGTTCCCGAGAGACACCTCTCTTTTGACGGAGCTGAAGTCCACGCCCCATAGCTTACTCAGCCGGGAGGAATTGGGAGGTACTCTGTGCGAGAGAATCGGTCAGTCAGAGGGCCTCTTTCAAGGGCTATGATGGAATACCTGATGCCGGCGCCGACCTGCAGTCCATTAGCAAAAGGCGCTTAGTATATGGCCACACGGAGCGCCAAGGCTCGAGGGCGTGGCCAGATATATTGGGTACACGTCCAGTACCTCTTCAAAAGCTTTCGCCCCTTCAAGTACAGTGACTCTGTGCCCGTCGGTAGCCGAGGCAAGTGCAGTCTGGAGGCCGCCAATGCCTGAGATAGTTCCATGTCAGTCCACGTCAGTCCGAGCAGGTGTGCAATAAGCCACCTGTCTTTGTATTATGCTGTGCAATCGTACCTGCTCCGACGACGACCACGTCAAGACCGTGCATGTTGGTTGTGCAGAGAGGGATAGTATCGGGGAGACCTCGGTGATGGAGCAACCTCGGGCGAGATGGAGCCAGGCGGAGCAGGGAAAAGGTTTAGCCGACTCCCGCATCGCCGCACCAATAGCTTCCCCAGACACAGTAAGGTAGAGGTAGCTCGATATGGATTCTTGACTTGACTTGACTTCATCTTCTCCTTCGCTCATCGACGCGCAACGTCGAGGTCTTACAAGTCAATGCTGCGCGGGGTCGGTCAGGAGCGATCATTCCAATGGGCAACACAATGGGCAACAAGGACTAGGATACGGACGCGGACACGGAAACGCACACGGACATGCACCGCAGATGGGGCCTCGCAGCAGCGAAGATGGCTCGCGTCGACCGCTACACAGAATTCCGCCGGTCCGTGGAGGCCGGTGCAGCGCGAGGACCGAGGGGCAGAGATGCAGCAAGAGCAAGGGCTGTTCATGGGCACCGTCGCCGCCAACTCTCCGCACACTCCGCACACTTTCCCAACTCTCGATGAGCTGGTGGCGGCTATCTCGCCGCGCATCCACGGACAACCCTCGCGCGCCAATTCCTGGCCATCGATGCTCTTGTTGCTGCTCACGCCGCGCTATGCACAGCAGGCCCTGTCGCCCGAGCTCGCGACGAGCGTCTTGCAGCGCTTCCCCCCCAACTCGAACCCCACCCGCTCCAAACCACTCGATGCCATCACCGCAGTCGTTGACCGCCTGCCCATCCCAGGAGGACCTCTGGAAGGCGTAGAGGGCTTGGCTTATGCCTTTGTCACGAATCCATCTCCTCTCTACTCTTCCTCGCAGCTTCCCCTCCGGCCAGATGCGCAGAAGCCGGGCTTCCTCGCATTCGAGAACCCGTGGGCAGCGGACATTATCGACAGCACTAACATACAGGTGCCCCTGGCTCACACAATCTTCGCCAACGGTCTGCCTTCAACTCTCCTCCATACGCGATTTCAATTCGATCCACTCACTGGTCTGCTGCAGAAATCGGCGTCGCAGCGTCTGGAATCCCAGACCGTGCGCATGTCCTCTTCCATCGTCAATGGATTTCCCCATGTCCAGCATCAGTTGGAGCCTTTGACTCCCTTTCGAAAAGTTCGCGCGTGCATGGGAAACATCATTCGCAGTTTGTCACCCAACGAATGGGGGGTGGACCAAGCAAAGTCGAGTGTCGATGAATCGATGCAGGACACGACTGCAACACCGGAGTCAACTGGGACTCGTGTCGCGACCCCAGCAGACTCTTTACCCGCGTCTCAAGAATTGGAGGCGGCAGTTTCCAACTATTTCCAGTACAACAACCTCGCGCCTGAACCTGTTCAGGTATGGGCCCTGATCATACCCAACGAGCGGCACGTGAGGAGGATCCGACCTGGTACACTGAGCATGACTCATCCAAAAAGGCATTTGTTGGTGTTTCCTCGCTGGAACCGAGAGTTTCGTCCATTGATCGACACCGCTATCTGGCAATTTCTCAAAGACGGGGCTCGACTTCATCGGGTGCTCTCTGGGGGAGGCGGATGGGGCAAGAAGGCTGGTTTGCTGAGCCTAGACCCGGACATCAAATACGACACCCGGCAATTGCGGGACGAGAAGGATTGGCATTTCAATTTCGACGTTGAAGACCCTGCTTTCGCAATTCAACAGCATCAAAAGGAGGCTCTTGGTGACATTATTCGGCCAGGCGAGGGCGTCATGTTCCTTCTGGCAAAGAGAGGCCTCACTGAAACACGCCTGCCTGATCTGCTTCCAAAGTGTTTTGACGGAGCCCTTGTGTTCGGTACCATCCCATCTAGTGTCGACGAACTTCCGCAGGGGAGTTTGAAGCAGGAGTCTCGGAATGAGGTCGATCGGCTGCAGCCCAAACATTTCCGGAATTATTTTGGAGCATTGTCCGAGACTGGCCTGGCTCTCCAAAGCCTGGCAGAGTCCAAAACCCTCACGCAAACGAAACTCGACATTCCCTGGAGCTTACTTGTACTGCCTACCGGAAACTTGGGACGCACTGAAGACGCAGGACCTAGAACCACGGAAAGGCCTATCAAGGGGTCTAATTTCTTCAGGTTGAGGGGAAAGAAAGAGTTCTACGTCAGGCCCTCTGCTTTCACAACACCAGGACACAGGCAGTCAAGGATGACTAAGCCGATTGCAAGCCTCGATCTTGAAACGGCCTGGGAGACAGAAAAAAAGGGGCACTGAATGTTGGTCCTGGCGGGCCGAAGCTCTCAAATTTTGCCGATCTGTCCCGTTTATTCTGTCCCCCAGGAGACGGGCCAGTTCTCTGCGCCTTTCAGTACGGGTGTGGCTAGGACGAGCCCCGACAGCGAGGATCTCAGAGATGTACAGACGAGACGAGCTCGGCGGGAAGAAGCTGAATAGTCTACGCAATTGTCACGATCGGTGCAAGTGCAATGTGCCACGACTGGTGGAAGAATTCCGGAGTCGATATCTGTTCAAATATACGGTCGTGACGCCTCTAATTCGTGGAGCTTGCTATGGCAGAGCAAAATGGCCAGTAGGTTCGTTTTTGGGGAACACAAATCATCGGAAGTTCACAGGCCAAACAAATTCGCCGTGAGTGAATCGTCGTGAGTGAAATCGTCGTCTCTGTAGTCTGGACGCGAGGCATCTAAGACCGCTGAGAACGTTCATTCTCTGAACGTTCTCTCGAAGAAGCAAAGGAGAGGTATGCTTCAGCAGGTACACAGGGAAAGGGAGAACCCCCGAAATGTGCTTAGGCTGAACCAAAGCCCTACGGGTTCCAAGACAAACGCTGACATTCGCACGGGATAATGAGAACACATACGTCCCTGATGCTGCAGGAGTCAACTGCGAATGTTGCATACCTCATCTCAGCCAAGAAGGCTTAGCCAAGGTTTACTAGTGCCCTGAGGCTGTGTGCCAGCTTCTCTCGGCTGCACGCCACCCTACCACCTACGTCCAGGACCGTCGATGAAACAACAGCTCTTCGTAGAAGATGATTCGAAGGCACCGCCGCGTGTCCTTTGCGCCACTGCAATCAGCAATCTCAGTCTCAAAGTCGTGCTACTTCTGTACAGCGACCCGTCACAATGAGACTTCTGAACGTTTCACACTCGAATTCAGCACTTTCAACACAAGAATACCCCACCGTATGCGATCGCATCGCAACGTTGGGGCGAGAACGAGACAACTTGCAAGGAATCATTTCTGCGAAGTTGTCCAGAAGAATCAACCTTGGCCCACTTCTCGAGCTGTGGGGATGGTACACCGGCCTTGCGACTGGTTGTGGATCGACACGGCATGCATCGATTAACGAGACCTTTTGGAGCTTTCAGGGTGCTTGATATTCAAGCGGTAGCAGGCCGCCGAAGTCTGGTACGCCTATCTCTCCGATGTCCCGAACCGCTACCACACTACTACAACCTTCTCTACTTTTCGGAAAGTGATTGGTTCAGTCGTGGTTGGACACTACAAGAGCTCCTCGCCTCTTCGATGGAGGTGTTCCTTGATTGCGAATGGGTGGCGAATCATCGGACACAAATGCAGAGACACGGATAAATGTATATGCAGTGGGAAAGAATCGAATCTGAATAATTTGATCTCGAATGTTACAGGCATTTGCAAGGAGGCTCTTATAGGGCTCAGCCCTCTCGGTGCATTGGGGGGACTCTAAGGAAGTCCACATTGGAGGAAAAGCTGGAATAAATTGCCAAAAGTACGACAAGATACCTACAAGATAGGGCGTATTGTCTTTGCGGGATCTTCGACGTCTAGTTGATTCCGAAGTATGGCGCAGGGGAGAGTAATGCCTGGCCCCGGCTAGCCTAAGAGATTTTGGGAGAGTCTGCGTACCGCTCTTGGTCTGTGCAATGCGGTTCTTGAAATGCTCGGTTCACTAGCATAAGGACGAATGAAACTGACACAAAGGCGACAGATCATGGGTGTTGCGGTGTGGGAATTATCAAGCTGCTGGGAACACTATCGCTCCTGATCCTCCTCTACCGCATCACCCCTCATAAACTCGTCCATCGTTCGATTGGAGCCAGAAGGCTTGCTAGCATCGTCTCGACCGGTAGAAATGCAAGCGGTATCGGTGCTTCTTCGTCCGTCGTTCACTAGGAGCCATAGGCCTTGCTACAATCGGCCCAAGCGGTACAAATACAAGTGGTATCGTCGCTTCTACAAACAAATTAGTATCTAGTTCATGCTTACTATATACTAGTACTTACGAATACTTCTGGTAAGCGCGACCCTTAACGCACACCCTAAGGCAATGCTCATTCTGCTGGACGCAGTTCGGGCCTGCCAGCTTAGGGTTGTTAACATTTTGAGCGCAACCGAAAGCGCCCTTGGCCTTGCACGCCGCAAGATCAGCCGCGTTGCATTGGCCGCCCTTATAGGTTTCCTGCGCTGTAGCTGCAACGACGAGAGTAATAATAGATAGGATGGAGATCTGCATGATTGCTGTGATGATGATTTTCGAGTAGCGAATCTAGAAGGGCGAGTAGGCGACTTTGTGTGATGATAATACTCGAGTACCCAACCGAGAAGGGCGAAGAGGCGACTTTCATACTCTCTCTTGACGGTGAATTCCATAACACGAGTGCTCCGGCCGGATATTGGCAATCGACGGTCTTACAACTAGGTAAGCATTCGGCAAAATGTCCTAGACAAAGTAGAGAAGGTCTTATCGTCTTCCCGAATAAGGGAACCTTCATTATAGAGCCGAGAGGGAGGCTACTATCAAGCTGCCGGACTTATTATCGCTCCTAATCCTCTTCGATTTACTAGGCTGGCTTGGTAGCATCGTACTTTCCGGTACAAATGCAAGTATCCTCTATATCTAGTTTATGCTAACTATAGTCCTAACAACGATATACTAGTACTTGCCGATCCTTCTAGTAAGCGGAACTAATACGGCCGTAGGCAACGTCGTATACCGTACTCTGCTTAAAGCAGTTCGGGCCTACTAGGTCAGGTTCTTGCCTGTTTTGAGCGCAACCCTAAGAGCCCGCATTAGAACAGATTTTAAGATCGTGTACGTTGTATAGTCGGGGCGCGATAGTAGTTAGCTACCGCTATAGAGACGAGAGTAATAATGGATAGGATAGAGCTCTACATAATGGCTATAAAGGATCCCTGTCGAGCTGGTGCTCAAGTATATAGCCCGACGTTGATTACCTCGTATAAGCCGCAGGAAGAGGGTAAGCCGCTATACGTTCGTAAAATCCGTAAAAGGGGATTTGGCGGCGAGGCGGGTGTACAGAAAGGCGGGTGCAAAGGAAGGATTCCTTTGCGTGTGTATACGTTACGAAACATTCGTATGCGCGCGGCACAGTATATCTACCGCATATTAGGGTACGTGTCGGTCCTTTTTTCTGCACCAATCACAAATAGCCTTGGCGTGGCTTGGTAGCACAGTGGTAGGGCCCACAGGGCCCAAAAAGCAGCCGTTCCAGGTAGTATAGGCCCTAGTAAACGTCAGGCACTAATGCGGCCATATGCTGGGCCGAGATACAGCATCACACTAGGCTTGGGATGTGTCACTGCTGGAGTATCATCACAGCATGTAATGAAGATATATATTCCGATTATTCCTCCACCAATAGCGTCCACTCGACGATCGCCGCGGAAACAGTCTCTAGTCAAAAACCCACCACTTCTCGCAACCGATGACTTCGAATCTCGAAGACTCCGATCCCGAGATCCTACAAGCCTTGGACTCGAACATGCCCAGTGTTCCGAGAATCGAGCTGCTGCTAATTAGAGGAGGAACGCACTTCCCACTCCGACCTCTGGATCGCAAGAATGATTTGGGTCTCCATGATTGCTCTGTGGAGACTGTTGCTAGACTGGTCCAAACTTCGCTTTAAGCATCGTGGGCTTGCGACTCGGCGGATTGTGCTCTTCGCATGAAAGGAGCCGGGCTTCTTCCCTTTCGTAGGTCGTGGACTTTGTGGCTCCACGTAAGCCTAAGCCTCCGACCCCCTCACTTTAAGTCTGCTTAGTAAGATGCGCATGGCCCCGCGGCTAGACACATAGCGATCATGACCCATAGTACATGGAGCCGTAGAAATAAGTCATACGTTCTCTTCCACAGCCCTTTCCGCATGTCCAAGGAAATGAACGCTTCACCCACCACCGACTATCCTCAAGTCTTGCTGTTTGACATTGGAGGAGTTTGCGTGCGTAAGACAGAAGCACTCGCGCCCGCACCCTGGGAGTCGGAACGAAAAAAACTGAATCTGTCCTGATCCCCTAGGTCGTCTCTCCCTTCCAAGCAATCCTCGACTACGAAAAGAGTAGAAACATCCCGCTCGGCTGGATCAACTTCTCCATTGCGGCATCCAGCCCCAACGGCGCCTGGCAACGCCTCGAACGCGGCGAGATCCTCCTCGACGATGCCTTCTTCCGCCACTTCAAAGCCGACCTGAGCAACGAAACCCGCTGGCGCGAATACTACGCCCGCTCCCTCGCGAGATCCGCCTCGCGCGGTCGCCCGACAGCAAGCCAAGCGACCGAAGAGGCAGCATACCAGGCCCCCGCCGTGCCCGACATTGACGCCGAATGGCTGTACTGGGAAATGATGAGCATCTCCCGCGAGCCGGATCCGCACATGTGGCCTGCTCTCCAGAAACTGCGAGCGGCGGCGGATCAGAGCAGGGGGAAGTTGATCCTGGGCGCTCTGAGTAACACTTCGATCTTTCCGCCGGGACATGCGTTCACGGACGAGGCCACACCCGAGGGCAAGCGGAATCGAGAGCTCAAGGACGTCTTTGATATTTTTGTCAGTAGTGCGCACGTCGGGATGCGGAAGCCGGCGGAGGACATATACAAGTACGCGATTACGCGATTGCATGAGTACGTGAAGGTGAATGGGTTTGGGATGGGCGTGAGGCCGCGAGACATTACGTTTTTGGACGACATCGGCGGGAACTTGAGAACGGCGAAGAAGTTGGGCATGAACACGATCAAGGTGGAGCTGGGGAGGGCGGACAAGGCAGTTGTGGAGCTCGAGAGATTGACTGGCCTGAGTCTGAGGGATGGGAAAGCCAGGCTTTAAGAGTGATACAGATATTGCAATAGAGTTCAACGTTGGCCCATGACTTTGTATACCTTCAGGACAACATTGCAAGCCGGCGGTAACGAGTTTCCGCTCTACAGTTGGTGTTGCGCAAGCCCAATGTCAATGTCAAGGATAGCAACATGCAGTCCTCGACCCATGTCGGCCTCAGTGGGATGGTCCGGAGTGTCTGTCGCTCTGAAAGCGTAGAAACCTGCCATACCGTGTCCCGCCTGATTACCATAGGTATCTTGACCAACAACGTGCATCGCGGCAACTGCTCTGCCGTTTCTGCCGAAACCCGTCCACACTGAGGCGGGGTCTTGCCATTGAGAGCTTTAGCCCCACACAAGGACCCCATGGAGGTCAGGTTGGGTTACCCGTAAAAACCACGCCCACGCAGAACGGAAGCCGGATGTCGTAGCACACTAGATATATAGGTACGTCCCATCTTCGCCCTGAAGATTTTTGGTCGAACCTTCTCCACCAAGCCCACGTGACCTTGAACAACTCTTGCCATGGCTGCCCCGCGTAATCCTCCCTTTCGAGCAGAGCATTTGGGCTCTCTACTTCGACCTGCAAAGCTGTTGGAGAAACGCCAGGCGATATACCAGGAGAAGGATACCGAGCAAGGCCTCCAAGAACTCGAAAACGAGTGCATCGATGAAATCGTCAAGATCCAGCAGGATGTAGGCTTCCGCGCGATTACGGACGGCGAATACCGTAGGCATATGTAGGACAGCGCCCATTCCTCCGCATGCAGCTACACGTGACTGATTCCATGATGCTGCGCCAGGTTCTGGGGCACCTTCTTTCCAGCTTTGAATGGCATGAAGGAGATCTACGGCCCAGACGCTTCAATATTCAGAGACTATGTTCCTGACATAGCCGCCTTCCTCGAGGAGGAAAAGGTCCCCGGCGAGTCGGTCATCTGCGTAGGCAAGATAGGCCATTCGGGAAAGAGCACGTACATTGGTCAGTACGAGTATCTGAAGAGCATCACTCCCAAGGACCGACATGGCGAGATCAAGATGACATTGGCCGCGCCGAATTGGTACCATCTTCGTTACCGGGAAGGGCAAGCGTATCCGAAGGACGTCTACACCTCCGATGAGGTATCAACACATTCCCCAAGTGTTGATCAGAGCTGACAACATCAACGTAGGAATACTTTGGCGATATCGCCAAAGCGTACCAAAAAGAGCTCCAGATCCTTTACGAAGCCGGTCTTCGCAACGTGCAAGTGGATGATCCGAACCTCGCCTGTAAGTCGCAGAGAAGACCTTCGCTTTACACTGCTGACCCGGCCACTCGCAGACTTCTGCTCCGAGAAGATGATTGAAGGCTGGAAGAAAGATCCAGCGAACACTCGAACGATTGATAGTCTTTTCGATGCTTACATTGCATTCTATAACGACTGCTTCAAGCGACCAGCTGACATGCATCTCGGAATCCATTTGTGTCGCGGGAATTTCGTCGGTTCTCGCCACTTCTCCGAGGGAGGCTACGATCGCATCGCCACGAAGCTATTCAACGAACTCAATGCATCCACGTACTACCTCGAGTACGACACTGCCCGTGCGGGAGGATTCGAGCCCCTGAAGTCCCTTCCCAGGAACAAGAGTGTTATCCTTGGAGTCATCACGAGCAAGTTCCCTAAACTCGAGGACCAAGAAGAGATGAAGAACCGAATCTACAAAGCTGCAGAGTTTGTTGCTGAGGGCAGTGGGTCGACCAGAGATCAAGCTCTCAAGCAGCTTGGCGTGAGTCCACAGTGCGGGTTCGCCAGCCACGAAGAAGGCAATCTGCTTGCCTATGATGATATGGTGCAGAAGTTGAAGTTGGTGAGAAGTATTGCGGATGAGGTCTGGGGTGAGCCGTAAATTCAAGCCCCGACTCTGAAACGGGTCCATTCAACCATGATTGGAATCCCAAATCCGCAGGGTTTCCTCGATCGAAAAATCTGTTCGTACCATTGCGAGCATCCAGAGCATCAGAGAAAGTAGCAGGAGGCACACTGGGTAAATATGCCGTGCTTTGTCCTTGGGCGCGAAGTTGGATTTGACCAGCAACGAAATCAAGTCTTCCGAACCCACATCGGGAAAGTCCATTGCAACGATGCCATACCGATGCTTCCCTTCGTGCTCCAACAGGTACGCTTGCAACCGTGGGTTCATTCCTTCTTCCCATCTGAATAGGTTGTAACCGCCAATGGCAACCTCTCGCGGCGGCAACTGGTAGTATAGATTGAACTCGTAAGCACTGGTGAAGTTCATGTACCAGTGAGTTTCGTCTTTAACAGCTGAGGCTCTATTCAGCAACCCGGATACGTCGCCACCTTTGGTAGCTATAAGTGTCGGCAGAGGAATTGGGTCTGAAAAGCTGTAATGGTCCTGGATAGTAAGTTGAACATCATGGCGTGTGCTGATAGTAAAAGGCCTGCTCGGATTATCCTGCCATTGAGTAACGTCGATGCCGTATGCAAATAGATTCCGTGCCCTAAAGCGACGGAATAACTGGATTTTGCCTCTCAATTCGCCGAGTGACGGCGTTGTGTTTGCGGTGCGCCAGCGCTCCGAATCTGCGGAGATGTGAGAAAAGATTGCCTGCGAGAAGTGTACGGTGGAACGCTCCGGCTCTCTGTCCTCCTTGATCTGTACAATTAGACCCTCGGTCGGGTTGGATTCTAGCCACATATACATTGTGCTCAGCACATCGGACAGGGTCAGATCCAGCACTGAAGGGCCATGAACCATTTCGGCGATATCATCCCGAATACCGCATCGAAGATCGAAGTAACGAATGCCAGAGGTCAGCTGCTGGAGGATGTTCATTCTCTGGGTGGCAATGAACGGCCACTGGCGGGTGAAGGCCGCACTATCGTGGGTTCCGGGCAATGTTAACGCGGACATGGGCAGGTCATCGTCCAGCTGAGACATCCAGTTGCAACCCAAGCCATGATCGTCTTCCACTTTCGGTCTGCCAACTTGGCCAATGGGGCGCTCCCGATGCTTTTCCAGGATAGTGTCGTACCCTTTCTCCAGGTCCGGCGAGAGACGGTCGAGTGGACCCATGTTTCCCAGTGTTCTTTGGTGGCGCAAGTGGCCGGAGTCCAGCGATACTCACTCCCGCCCTTTGCTTGCCCTTCGCCGCCGCGTGATTTGGCCTTCATACATGGCCCTCTAAAGAAAGAGGGCTGAAGGTTGATGAGCAAATGAGAAGAGGAGCAGACGAAGGAGTCGGGAGGGAAGAATGGGAGAATGGGAGAATGGAAGAATGGAAGCGATGTGGAGAACAAGAGAAGGCGGAGGTCGGGGCAGCTCGAGGCGGTTCGAACCCCATCGGGTCTAGCCGTGACTAGAGTTTCACGCTAGAGCGACATCACCTTCTCGAGAGCGTCAAATAGATTGAAACGACATCAACAACTCAACAACGAGACGCGCGCAGAGAGGAGGATCATTGACACGTTACGATCAAACATCTTGTCTGCGAAAGCGTTAAAGTCGCCCAACATGTCCGCCCGCCCTGCGACCGGGAGCAGGCGCTCCACTAAGACTGAGTACATTGAAACAGTATACCTTACCTTTTGTGTTTGGCGTCACGCTCAAACGTTGTCTGATACTTCGTAGGATACTGGCAACAAAATCTCACGACGAGCCAATATCGAAGGCAAACAGAATATCATGCTTGGCGGCAAGTCGGTTATCATGCCCGGAGTCCAGCTGCGAGGCGATCTCCATCGGCTGCCGGAGCCTACGGCTGATGGAGAAAAATCGAAACACCAACAGCCGTACGCCACCGCCATCTCCGTTGGCAGGTACGTCTTCCATTTGGTCCGCTGATGCCAGCTCAATCTGACTCGATGTGTGCAGGTACAGTGTCATTTCCACGGACTGCACGATTCGGCCGCCCATGCAAGTCCGTCATGGCCAAATGGTCTTCTATCCCATGCGAATTGGCGACAACGTCTTCATCGGCGCGGGAACGCATGTCTCCGCGGCAGCGATATCAAATCATGTTCATGTTGGAGCGAATTGCGTACTGGGTCCGTTTAGCATGCTCAAGGAAAGCAGCAAGGTGCTTCCAAACACCGTCGTGCCTTCTAATATGGTCGTGCCGCCTGGCTCTGTTGTCGGCGGGCGGCCTGCTCGCATTCTTGGCCAAGTTGCTGACGGATGGGGCCAAGGTGGAGGTGACGATGGGGAGGACGTAGTTGAGGGCGGCGATTTGAGGAAGCTGGTCAAGAGCATCAAGTGAGAGAAGAGTGCAAGGAGGCTACAGTCCCAAGAGAAAAAAAGGCCGCCGAACATCCACGCACCGCATAACACTGTGAGCTTACTTGCACTCGCATGGTAGCGAAGACAGTCAAGACCCTCCTCGGTGCACCAGCAGAGCACCATGAAGACGTCGCGAAGTCACACCCAGGAAACCTATCCACATTCAACTTGGGCAGCAGCTTGAGAGTGGTTGAGAACAGGGAAAGATGTGTCGATGGCTATAGGAAGCAACAGGCAGGCCGGATTGTACAGCGTCCTCGCATAGCGGAAGCTCATCTCTACGGTTGCTACCGCTGAGCTGGTACTTTACGACTCGCTATTAACCTGGTTCCGGCTAGCATTCTCGAAAAACAACGAACTTCCGCTATACGAAGACGCTGTGGGTGCATAATAGAAGCACGCCAAGTACAGGAAGAGACGGAAGACACCATATCAGAAACAATCGCCGCCCACCGCCAATGAGGAATTTTCCACTCGGAAATTTCAATCCTGCCATCCCCATGGCCTGTTCTCCAGGTGCTCGTCATCCTCTGGGAACACTGGCTTAGGATCGGTGTCCTTCTGAGTTAGTGGAGCTTACGCTATCCGGGCATTTCACCACTTACCCAGTCTCCGGAACCAGAGCTCGAAAAGCTCCATTCGGGCGACCAGCCGTCCCTATCCTTCGCTTCGTTTTGCTCTCTCAGGCATCGCGAGCACTGGCAAGGTCCATCCAGCCATCTCCAGAATGTTTTGCGCCGTACTGGAAGAGGCTGGTCGGCCATGAACCCGTTATAGGTGACAAAGAGCTGTTCTCCTTTCTGCACCTCTCGCAGAGTCGACATCGTCATTGTCCTATGATCCTCGGGAATCCGCCATTTGACGTTCGGCTCGCAAGAGTGGTTGAACATGGAGAAGAGAGGATTTACGCCGGCCGTGTGTGGATCGCCCCAGGAGTTGTTTTCGACGCGTGCCATTAGGACGAAAATGGTCCACGTGTCCCAGTTTAGATTGGCGAAGATGTCAATGCCGAATTGTTGCAGTGCTTCGTTGGGGACGGCGATGTCCCTGTCGAGAGAGAAGTGTCTGAACTTGTCTTTGCGGTAAGTTGGCGTCAGCGCGGCAATGAGGTGGTGATCTAGTGGATGATGGACGCCGTCCTCAATGGCGCACATAAGGAAGCGGACCTTCACGATGGCTTCCACGGCTCTCCTTCCGCAGCGATCGCGAATCCATCTGAGGTCTTGTTGCACACTTTCTCCCTCTGTGTTCGGATGGCCTGGATCCATGCAGGCCACTCCACCAAAGAGGTTTCTGAGGTCTCCTTGCTTTCCAGGTCCGTTACATCCCTAGTACGATTTTTCAGCTTTGCGTCCCCGTCGTATGCATCGCGGCTCGACCTACCCAGACTCTGCTCTTGTCAACGACGATGACCTCGTCTCTGCTGATGTCACGAGATGCGAACACCCCGAGTAAGTCGGCACCCTCGCGCGCTCCTACTCCCTTGCCGAAAGCGTAGCGCTTCAGTACACAGCATGACTTTCCACCGTTTGTACTGTTGGGGTCAAGAAGGTCGCGATTGAGCGAGTCCACCAGCTCGTCCGAGCGGTAAGTGTGTTCCTCTCTCAGCCACGGGTAAGGCCTCAACACGCAGAGTCCCTCATCCTCCTCCGGATACAGATACACGTTTCCCTCGAGTAGCTTCTCGGCCTGCTGCTGAAGAGCCATCAAGTACTCCCGTTGGCGCTCGTGTTCAAGGTCCATGTCAGATGAGCTCGCACAGCCTTCTTCTTCTTCTTCTTCTTCTTCTCCTTCTTCTTCTTCTCCTCGCATCCAGAATCCCATGCGATGTCCGACCCGCCATCCCCGCCGCTGTGGCGTCAAATTGCTCATCATCTTCCGACACAGCAGAGAGGCCTTGTGCGCATCTCCCGCCGCGAGCTCGGGGTAGCGGAGGCTCGCCAGCGTGCGCGAACGCCGCAGCCAGGAACTCGGATCGTACGGGTGGCGCTGGATCGTGTCTGTTTCCCGATTCATCAAATCCACGAGGGCGCCTACCGTGTCCCGGTCTAAGCGTGTCTCTCCTTGCTCGTAGGGCCGAGTGGGCTCCCAATCGTCGGGATGGAAGGGCTTGTCCATGGCTGGCGGAGAATGAATGGGGTTGTTTGCTCTATTCTGTAGTCGGTATGGGGTTTTTGAGTGTTTGGCACAAGAGCGCCGCTGAATGAAATGGATTTGAAGTATGTATGTTCTTGATAGTTAGTGGCACGTGCAGTTCAAAGGGGGTGTGTTAGCGGCTGTAGTGATCTCACAAGGCTGAGAGCATGTGTTTGTAGGAGAATAATGAAGGTTTGCTCGGCAAGGTGAGTGAATCTTTTTTTCGAAGCAGCCCGGAGTTAACCAGGACCACCACATCTCGCGCGACATTCACAGTGCTTTTGTTCCAATTCAAAATTCGCCCGCCAGATAATGCCGGCGAGGCTGTGACTGAATCTATCTGTCCGATTCCATTTGACAAAACCCTCAGGAGTCTCGATTTCCTACAACAAGGCGACTCTCCGTATGACCGTTCCTGCCAGGGCATGGACGTGCTCCTTCCTCACTCTGCTTCCAATAACGGAAAGATTTGTAGTGTCCAGGTGGCTTTCCAAAGAGAAAGGCAATCCGCTAACACCCACCACATGCTCGGCCGCCTCCCCCCAAGCTGGTATGGAATAGGGCGGGCAAGCGTCTGCGCGCCACGACTCGCCTCACTCGCCTCCAATACAGTCCAGATCGTCTTGCTTCCGTGCTTCAAACTCGAGGTTCGGTCCTAGTTCAAGCTGTCGCCATAATCAGAATAGCGTTTTTCACAAATCGTACAAAACACAAGAGTATCGAGCACTTCAGTCGGTTTCGTGGCGGGTGCAATCTCAAGCGAAACATGGTGTCGTAACAGAGGGTCGATGCTCACAGCATGAGATTGTGCAGGTTGCGCTGGACAATCATGTCCTGCACGCTTTTCATCGTCTTGTCCAGGAGGTTGGTATCCGTGGCGTTGGTGAAATGGACGTAGGCGTCCTTGTCGGGATCGCGCACAAGGTTCCGGAATTTCCTCGCAAAGAAGTCCTGTCCGGCTTCTACGTCTCGGTCGTTGCCTGGAAAGTCGGGGAAGTGTTCTCGAATCGGCGCGGATCCCGTAAGTACCTTTTCTCGGAACAAATCTATCTTGTTGAGAAAGAGAATAAGAGCGGACTTTTCGAAGTATTTGCTGTTGGCAATGCTTTCGAAGAGCATAAGCGCTTCATGCATTTGGTTCTGGGGTTTGTTAGCATTCCAAGCACATACTCGCTTCCGGGAGCTCCCGACTTACGCCATTGCGGTCCTCCACCAGAACATGATCGTATCCACTGATCGCAACTAGGAACAGGACCACCTGCACATTGTCGAACACGTGGATCCACTTTTTCCGTTCCGATCGCTGACCACCAACGTCGAACATGCGATATGTCAGACTTCCGGTCTCGAAGATGGTCTCGCTGATGCCGGTTGTTCGTAATCGCGCTCGCAAGATATCCTGGTCGGTGGGGAGGTAATCTTTGCCAAACAGCCGGTCCACGTCTGCGAAGTAACTACCACAGGTCAGTATGCATTTCCAGGACGATGTCCAAGTGAACTGACTAGATCAGATTGTCGTGCAAGGCGTATTCGTTGCCTTTCTTGATTGCAAGTTGTACCCCTTCGTCGCGCCACAGGCTCTTAAAGGCGTTTAGACAGTCGAGTGGCATAGGGTCGTCGGGGCCAATGTCAGGATCTGCCGCAACGATCTCGGCGTAGCGCTAAGAGATGCCCTTGTTAGCGTCGCACCACTTGTACACCCAAACGAGTCCCACGTACGATGTTGTTCTCCTCAGCAAAATCCACCTCCTGTTCCTCCATAGCCCCAAAGATGACCTGGAAAGAGTGCAGCAAGTTCTGGAAGATGGTGACCTTCCATTGTTTCCGCTCCGAATTCGAAAAACCCTTGGTGTGAATCAATCGCATCTGCTTCAAGACAGTCGATTTTCCCGATTCGCCCGCTCCTGTTCGCAAGTCAGCGGCCTGATGTTGGCTCCTTTGAGCTCCTCTCGCGCACCTAACAGCAGCAACTTCACCTCCTTGGCCAGGCGCTTTTGATCCTCCCTCAGCTGCTTCTCGATCTCCTTGCTCTTCTTCGCGTCCGGGTCCTCCTTGTTTCCGCTTCCGAAACACATGATTCTGCCGATTGCCATGCAACGCGGGAGTACTCAGTAGCTGTGGAGCGAGGTCTGCTGGCGAATGCTCTTTGCCGATTGCTTCAGTGCCGCGACGTGGTATAGCAGCTCCTCGGCGGCAGCAGTGGCAGTCGTGACAGGAGGCTGGGTCGGCCTGGAGGGAGATGCGATGCGGGCAGTCTGGTGCGACGCTGTCTCGACGCTGTGTCGACTACGTCCGCGCTGGGGGAGTCGTGAGCGCGCGCGAGTGTCGCGCGTTTGTGGGACGAGGTCGCCGAGCACCTCAAGTGGGTGGGTGGTAGCGGCAGGCAGGCAGAGGGCGAGGAGAGGAGAGTTTGGGGGAAAAGTTTGCCAGAGGTCGAGCAGCAAGTGATGCAGATGCAGTGATCCGGATGTGAGGTTTGGTTCCCTTCCACGAACGCCAGTGAGGCAATGCAGACCTTGGGACCGACTGTTGCTCGGCAGCCGTGCCAGAGTAGATTCCGATCTCTCGTAGCAGCGTAGGTCGTCGGCGTAGCTAGCTTTGGGTCGGGTTGTTGTTGAGCGAATGCGAATGCAGCAGAGTCAAGGGTGGAAGGACGAAGTCTGCTGGTTGGTAGAGTTCTCTCCCTTGCCGGCAGCCAGGAAACAGCAGCGCCGTGGCACCTTAATAATAACGAGCACAAGAAGCAAGATTAGCCCTCGCGGAGATTGGAGCGCTGCCAGATGTCGCAACTTGCAAGGGGATGATGCATGCCTACAAAGCTAGCCTCGCCCGCCTCGCACCAAGTCACCAGTGTTCCTCCTGTTGGCGTACGCGAGACCGAATAGCACCTCGAATGGATCATGGGCAAGGTCCGGCGCGAGTTCCACCTCCCACTAAGGTACTGAGGGGCTAGTACATCCGATCCGCTATCATCGGATCATCCTCTTCACTGCCCGCCCACAGCGCCCGCCTCTGGTCGCTGCAGCTGCGGCCACACAGCATCGTCAGGCCGACTCGACGTGATTGGCGCCGACTCTTAGTCTACCTTACACATTACCTGATTCTTCCGGGTCGCCGTCAGTGTGCTAGCACGCCCCGTTCTTCACGTGGTTTCGCCGAACCTCACTGCCCCACTCTTATCTCCACCCACCCGCGAACGAGCACACTTAAGGTACATAATACATATCTTATCCAGACTACGGCCGCGCCTGTGGAGCCACTGACTACTGTGCTCCGACTCTTCGCGCGCTGCACCCAAGACGTCGCACACAGGGAACCCTGTAGAGGGAGCGTCGTGATCGAGTGGGAGGACCTTCCCTGCCGGCCTGGACTTGAGTTTTCTGTGAGCCAAGCTACGATCCCTGATTCAGCGTGTCTCGGGAGTCGAGAGCCGCGGCGGGCAGGGCCGCATCCGCAACTCTTGCGATGGCTCCGGCCCCGAACTTGAACCATTTCCGCCTGATGAGAAGCCGTAACGCCGCAACAACCACTCGGCAGATCCCTGTCTGTATTCGACGCCCTATCAAGAAACACTTCCCGCGCGACGGCCAACAGCTCCCCGAGGGAGCGTCCGTCGCGTTGCTGTGCAATCATCCAGACTTCTACTACACTCCCGCCCGGGAGTTCGTTTGATGACCCGAAACTCGGTACAGACAAGGAGGTGATGCCGAGTCACGTGGATTGGACGGGCTGTCCCGCCGCGGGCTGGCCCGCTAGCGCGCTTCGCAAAGCTCTTAAGACTTCGAAGCTCGCTCGTGTTCTTGGAAATCTTCATCCCGGTGGTGAGTACACAATTCTGCCCCCACGTTTTGCCTCATCATCATCACCATGCTAATACGATCACAGCAAGGGCATTACGCATATCAGTGAGGATTCGTCCGAGATTGCGTTTTTGCTAGTTGAAAACTATCAACATGACTGCTCTTGTTGGTCTACGGATCGGCAAGGAATTTTTGACAACCCACACGCGTCTCGCACGCTCACTTCTTTTCATCATTTCGCTTGCTTCGGCGAGAACATGGAGAAGAGATGCAATACCGCGACGAGGCGGCGGCTGCTATCGACGGCCTTCTTGGCCAACTGACACTGTCGCGTGGGACCCCGACGGCGCCCACGCCGAAACATCAGCTTCCACAAGTCACGAGCAGCAACAACCACAGGCACCGACCGCCATTGTCGGAGGCGAAGACTCGACCTGCGATCACCTGCCTGGGCTACGGTCCAACCCTACAAGTACTCTGGCGAGCGAACGCGTCTTCGAGGCCTTGCGGGCGCAAAGAGATGGAAACACGGCAGCAGTCCTGGATGATTGGGCTCGCACTGGAAAAGCATGGGAAGGAATCAATAGGGCGGGACAGACACAATGAGCAGGTTCACTACCCTGAGCTACCATCGGCGTGCATTGCAGCATTCGTGTAGCGCGATGGACATGCCGACCGCCTGCGGCACCCTACTTGATGTACACCTGCGTTAGGGGAAGTTCCATCTCTACAGCTTCTCCATCCATCAGACCGTGGAGGTACCCATGCCCGAGCGCAAAGTGGTATGTGACTTCTCCATCCTCACTGGAGCCGCAATGTCGTAGGAACATGGGCGCCGGACCGCCGTAAAGCGCATATATCTCGTCGCCTGGAATGGCGCGTTCAGGACACAGCCCGATATACCCTTGCTTCGTGGTGCAGAGTCGCCGTCGCATAGCCGCGATGTTCTGAGATAGCATTCCTGGGTGCAGACCGGCACTGGCGGATGGACCTTGTTCTCTCATTCGACGTCTCAAGTCGGCTAGATGGGCTTGCCATTCCTCAATGTCCGCTGGAGTCACATGCCTCACGAAGCCATTTTCGTAGTATCGACCTGCGAACATGGTCTTGGCAACAACTTCCCTGAGACTCTCGGTATACGGCTTGTCATTCTTGCTATCCAGATCTACAAACTCGAACCACTCGTCGAGAAGATCTAATTGGTCGACCATGCGATTCGTGAGCCTTCGTGGGCGGGAAACGCGCTCGATCTCGCCGAGTCGGACAGCCGTGAAGCTGAGGATATCGTTCGGCAGCAGCTCGATTTCCCCCTTGACGCCTTGGGCACAGTTATAGCTGTCGACGTACTCCAGACGAGCAGCAGCGAAGATGGGCGGCTCAGTGGTATTGAGTGTCCAATCCGGCACCCAGGAAGGCAAGCCCTGCAAGACCTGTTCCAGCTCCAAGAACAAGGGGAGTGGCCAACCTTGGCTCCTCATGACTTCAACGGCACAAGACACCTGTACATCGCTCAGCGACCTGGTGTAATCGGGCGACAACTCGGCAACGCAGTCCTTGGATTGAAGACCTAGGACGCCGTAAATCTTATCTCTTGGGTCTGTGGCCTGCTTCGAGCGAAACTTGATGAGCACGCGGTGCAGTGCTTGACCTCTCGACATTTGAGACCTAGTGAGCGTGAGCACGTTCACCTCAACAGCAATGCGCTGTATGACTTGGAAGTCGTGCATGTTGAGTGTGAAGATGCATTCGCCGCAGCAGGTGTCGAGATGGCCCTGCCAATTTGCCCAGGCTTGCTCGATTAGTTGCCAGGGTACAGATATCGGGCCTCGCAAAACAGTCGCAGATCGGGCGAGGACGATCTCTTGTACCGTCCAGGTTCTCGTGAACCATTCGACGTCCAGACAAGCACGTAGACACTTCAAGGCGCAGGGCCAACCTCGCTCTGATCTCGACAGACGACCTGGGCAGCTGCTGGCGGTGCATGTTTCGAAATATGGCAGGTCGTGGAAATGGCTGCCGTCCGCCAGCTTTTGAATAATGGACACGGCTTCTGTGAGTGTCTCACAGTCGTTCATAGACGCTCCAGCCTTGGTATCTCCATCAACAAAATCATCGGAAGCCTCTGGGTCACCAAGCCATATCAGCACGTCTGTTGCTTTTGCGAAAATCCTGCCCATCATAGCGACCTGCTCCGTCTTCTCCGCGTCATTCCCCTGATCGATGCAGACCGCATCGATCCAAATCAACCCCTGTCCACGTTGGCGAAGCTGTCTCAGGGCGCCAAAAAGGCTCACCCTCACGTACCATGGCCGTCCGTTCAGAGAAACGGCCAGACGGGGCCTCGGAGGCCCCCACACGTACGACAGACAGGAGTATGCGATCTCGAGGTCGAGACTGGACGTGCGCAGCTCGAGCTCCAGCGGAGAGTCCCAAGAGCCACTCGCAATGTTGCACAGGCGAAACTCGTGGTCGTCATCAGAAGAGGCCAGTGGCGTATAGGGACTTGTCACTGGAGACGTCGGGTCGTTCTTCCTTCTTGGAACCATTTCAAACGATGCATGGAGGAGATGCGCTGGAACTATCGCGAAGGACAGGAGATGAAACAAGTCCTCCACTGACATGACGGAAAGACTTCGCAGTGCTCATGCCTCTTCCACAGTAACACAACAGAGTCATGCGGCCCATAGTACTACTCGAATGCCCTCAGGACCTTGCTGCCCGTGCGTGCTACGCGATCACATGACAACCAAACTCAAGGAAGGCTTCACGAGATAATTCTCTCCCGACGTTCTTCTTGAGTCTTTTCGCCAAGGAGAGTAACACGCACGATACGATACGATACGACACTGATATGGACTTCTCCCGATATCTTATCGTTCTATCTACATCTTTTGGAGAAAGAAAAAAAAATGATTCAATGCACCCAAACGCCTCGCCTTTGGTGTGCGCGATTGCACAAGATTTCAGCGTCGTCGCCTCCCCAATCGAGTCGAAGAAACTCACTTCTGTCGTCTGGAGGGGGGCACTTTGAATCTTCGAGAGGGAGGTCTTTCAGGCTGTGGTGCCCGCTGCTCCTCCGCTCCCGTGGTGCTCTCTGAGACTCCTCCCCTTCCAGGCCCATTCGCATCATGGCTCCCGGCACCGCCACCCAGAGCCGTATCTTTCATCTGGTCATCTAATTTCATATAATAGCCTGGCGATTGCGAGCCGCGGACTTCTTCTTCATGATGAAAAGATTGAACGGACTGGAAATGATTTGGTGGGCTCTTGGTTTTTTCGCTCCGCGAGCTCGCGGTTGTTGCTTGCGGGTCTTTTCTTCTGCCAGGCTGCATTGGGAGGGGAAATTCAAAAGTGTAGCCAGAGGAGAAGAAGAAGAAGAAGAAGAAGAAGGGACTTTGAACCAGCGAGAAGAGAAGATTATATAGAGCGGAGAATGCTGCATTCATCAAAGTCATTACGGTTCAGGCGGCGCCCTGAACATAGGGTATCTGGATCTAAGATCCATTCATTTCTAGATAGATAGATAGGTAGAGAGATCGATTCATCTATCTACCGCTTTGAGTACTATTCACAAGCTTTTTTAAGATCGTAAACGAACATTTACTACTACAAGCTCTTTCGACGTTAGGGTAGCGTTCGCCCCTAGGGGCAGAACGAACCTTCAAGAATACTATGGAAAAAAAAAAAAAGAGTATAGTATAGTATAGAACACGGTACGGTACGGTACAGTAAATCCAAGTAATCTATACCACCTCTCAGAATCCGCCTCCGATATATACACTTAGCTGATATCGATCAGTAGAACAGAAGTAGACGATATCATAGGTATAGGTATAGGTATAGTATACGATACCTTCAACCGCTATGCCTTCTTCAAAGAGACCGTATCTCCTTTGAAAAGCAGGGAAGAATACACGTACGAAATCGATGCATTTATTCCGCGGCAAGAAACAGATATGCATGCATCGCAAGGCTGAGTCGACAATGCGGTTCCGTTCTGTACTCGATTCGAAATTGAAAATTATAGACTTCCCCCCAAATGCCTCTTGATTCTATCATCTAATGCGCCGTTCGATCTTCTCCCGCTTAGATCTTCTCCCTGCCAAAAGAGCTATGCAATGCCTCTACACGAAAGCACACATGGCCATGGGGCGCAAATCACCACCAACGCCATACGACACAAGATGCCCAGATCTCCCAACCCAGATACGTACGCAAACAATCAAAGATGCAGCAAGATGCGCCTTCGTCACACGTCGTCCGCATCGGACTCCTCTACCGTCTCTTCTGCCTTCTTTTTCCTCTCTTCGTCCATCTCCCTGTACGTTGCCCAACTGAGAAGCAGAAAAGCTGCGATGATGAGGATTCCACCTCCAATCGCAGCGCCAGATAGCTTGTGATATAGCGGTGGTGGCAGCAGTTGATCACACAACGCCACCAGGAAAATGGTCAGCAGTGCCGCGACAGAGCTCAAGACTGGCGATGTCAATGAGATGAGGACCAGGAAGGAGCCGCTGAATGTGGCGTTGGAGAGAACCGAGATGATGAGCATCCACGCCGCTCGACCCCGAGGAAGCTCAAATGTCTCGATTCCAGTAATGTGCAGGATTGGCAGTGGGATCCAGAGGACGAGCAGCGTGAACAAACCGATCATGCTGCCGAAGGTGTTGGCAAAAAGCATGCCTCGGATGGGAGAGCAGTTCTCCGGCGGGCAGGCGACGCGCTTGTACAGGACCTCGTAGAATCCGTACAGCACGCTACCGACGCCGATGACCAGATTTCCAAGAGTACGGTTGGATGCCTCTGAATCGTCCGGAGCACTTGGTCCTCCAGTACCTCCGCCCGACTTGCTGCCATGCTTTGCCGTGCCCTTGTCTCCATACGCCACTACCAGAACACCAAAAATTGCTATCCCAACGGCGACCACCTTGCTCAAGCGGAGCTTCTCGTGTAGTATAGGCACCGCGAATGCATATGCAAAGAATGCAGAACAGTTGTAAATGGCCGTCAGATCGGAGGCGGTAGTCAGGTCAACAGCGACGTACCAGCTTCCACCAGCGACGGTGAGGGCGCATGTCACAAAGGCAGTTGTTCGGATGAAGTACGGAATGGGAGACTTCTTCTGATACTGGGATGGAATGTGAAGCGTCTGTTGTTCCACCATTTGCGCGGTCGAGCGCAGGATGGAGAGGTGCCGCCTCCAAAAGGCATCCCAGGGCTGGTTCCATTTGGACAACCTCAGGATGAGGAGTTGTGCAGGCCACAGTAGAGACCAGCTCCCGTGGGTGAAGTACAACATGCAATATGGTTTGGTCCAATTCAGATCATGCTGGATGTAGACTGCCGTCTCTGTCTGCACGGCAAAGCTTATAAGACTGACAAACAAGAATGCGCCGGCTAATGTATATCGTTTCCTGGTATCGTTCTTGTTTTCCACCTCTTCCGGATCCCTCTCTCTGAAGCGGGTCGACCGCCGCGTTGTCAAGCCATTGCGCGGAGGTGACGCATACTCGGGCTGCTTGTCGCCGGACAGAAGAGGCTGCGACTGCTGGGTGTGAGGGCGATGCGTGGAGGGCCGATCTGAGCGCAAGTCTGAGGGCATGTTCTGTTGGTCCGCGGAGGAGGACTGATCCTCGCCGTCTCCCCAGCTCTCGAAGTCGGAGTCGTCGGCGTAGTCGTGGTGCTCGCGTGCTTTGTAGTCGTCGGGATGGGGCAGGAGGGCGAAGGGACTGGGCTGGCGCGAGGCGGATTGACTGAGGTGTTCGAAGTCAGACGAGGCGGCGGCGGTGGAGGAGGATTCGGGGTCCGGGTCGGGATCGGGGTCGTCGAAGTGGTCAGGAGACAGCAGGCGGGTGGAGGATTGTTGTAGAGATGACCCAGCGCCGCTCGCGTGTGATTTTCCTCCCATGCATGCGGTGAGGTCTACCGTGCCTCAAGATCGTTCATGTGACGCTACTGCACGCAGAGACAGAGACGGGGCGGATGGCGCAATCGGTCCCAGGACGCTTCCAGTGGGGCGGTGAAGCTGTGGCCGAGCATGCGGATTATTAGTTTATAGAGGCCGTGGAGGAGATGCGAAGCAAAGCAGTCCAAGGGTTTACATGATGAGGAAGAGCAGGAGAGCAGGAGACGGGAGGAGACGCGCGTGGAAAGAAGGGTCGCACCCAAAATATCTCCTGCGCCATTGCTCTGTGGCTCTGTGGCTCTGTGGCTCCGATCTGTGCTCTGTGCTCGGAGGTGCAATCCACCACTTTTGGCGCTCCGTCTCGCGGCATCTGTGACCCTCCATTGTGTCACATATCCATATCCATATCCACATCACCATCTATAACCAAAAAGAGGGGAGTTCATCCAGGACAGTAAGGTAGTTACGCCACGCTGTTAGGCATGGAAGCCTCTTGTGATGAGGCTCTTGAGGAGCCGAATGCGCGGGGAGGCTTCCCGCTTCCGCTTGCATCATCAGCCGTCTCGTGTGTCGTGTACAAGGTAAACAGGCATTGAGCTTCCATGATATCTCCGTTTCGCCTCCCCTATCTCCATGGCCATCTATAAGGTAGGTAGGTAGGTAGGTAACCTTTCAAGCTTTCCGTCTCCACTTCGACTTGCATGTCGAGACTGCTTTCATCACAGCGATTAGCAAACCTCTCCACCCGCAACACCATCCCAAGACTATCATTCACGACTTCGACACGCAGCAAGATGCCTCTGATTGCAGGAACGGGAAAGCCCAGGGTCATCCTGGGTACCATGACCTTTGGGCCCGATGAGAAGACGGGAGCACGTGTCTTGGACTTGGACACCTACAAGTCGTGCCTCGACTATTTCCAGGTACAGCTGTCTCTAGCTTTCGAATTGACTGTCTCTTCTAACATATCGGTAGTCCAAAGGTCACACCGAGATCGATACCGCTCGCGTCTACGTGGGTGGCAAGCAAGAGGCCTGGTCCCGCGATGCTGGATGGCGCGAGCGAGGACTCTCGGTAGCCACCAAATGGTACCCTCGTCAAGCCGGTGCGCACAGCGGCGAGAAGATCGAGGAGAAGCTCAACGAGTCCTTGCAAGAACTCGGCACGGACTGTGTTGATATTGTATTATTTCCTCAACCTCAGCAGCATCCTCTGGGGTTACAGTAACTGACGCGAACAGTTCTATCTGCACGCCGCAGACCGAAGCCTCCCGTTCACAGAGCCCTTGAAGAAGTTGAACGAGCTGCACAAGCAGGGCAAATTCGTCAATCTCGGACTCAGCAACTTCACCGCGGCCGAAGTGGCCGAAGTGGTCATGCATTGCAAATATAACAATTGGGTTCGGTAAGCAAACAAACACATCCCAAGCCACTTTTGCACATTTCGAAGAAAAAGAAGAAAGAAAAAAAAAAGCTCACCGAGATCTCCAGTCCATCCATTTTCCAGTGCATGTACAACGCCATCCAACGCACCATCGAACCCGAACTCATCGTCGTCTGCCGCCGCTTCGGCATCGACATCGTCGTCTACAACCCCATCGCCGGCGGCCTCTTCTCCGGCAAGATCAAGACCAACGAAATCCCCGCCGAGGGCCGGTTCAGCAACACGAACCAGGCCGTCGGCGAGAACTACCGCAAGCGCTACTTCCAAGACGCAACCTTTGACGCTCTGCGCGTCATCGAGCCCGTCGTGCAGAAGCACGGCCTGACGCTGCTGGAGACGGCCTTTCGCTGGTTGACGCATCATTCCAGCCTCAATATCAAGGACGGGGGCAATGATGGCATCATTATCGGTGTTTCCAGCCAGCAGCAGTTGGAAGCGAACCTGAAAGACTTGGAAAAGGGTCCGTTGCCGGAGGAGGTCGTCAAGACGCTGGACGAGGCGTGGTTGGTGGCGAAGCCAACGGCGGCGTGGTACTGGCACGGTGAGCTCAAGTACACCTACGACACCCGAAAGGCGTTGCTCGAGGAGCCACGCCCCTGAGCACTCGCCAGAGAGACGTCAGATAAATTTAGAGATGAGTAAGGTAAAAGAACAACTTTCCCATCTTGCCTATCTCGACCTGCTGCCTGCCTGCTAAGCTTATGGTGGCTTCCATGTGCGAGTTTGCCTCAGGCAGTCATCACGTGCCCACAACTAAATCCGTCTCACAGCTGACCTCGCCTTGGTTGCTTTCTGAGACAGGTCATTGATAAACATATCTGCATCTGCGTCTATCACACCTACTTCATTTGTGCGCCTGCTATAAGCGTACGGGTGGCGCTGACTAGCTCTCATAATGTCGTCCTTCTCTTCTAAGGGCCCCTCGACTCCTGGATTCCAGTCCTTCCTTCTGTGGCGTCCTCCATACCTCCTCCGTCATGTCGTACAATCATCGCGGAAGTACCAGCAGCAAGCACGTCCGCTTTGCCGACGACTTCTCTCCCTCCGCACTCACGCTGAGGCTGCAGCTCGGGCCCAAAGAGCGTCCCACTGTAGTGGTCAAGATTACCGTCGAGTTCGAAGCCGGCCGACTTCCCCGGATCAGAGTCAAGACCAAGAAGCCCAAGGAGCGACGCAGAAGGTAGTGGTCGTGGAGCAGTCATCGACCCTACTGGATTCGATACTGTAAGTGCGCAGCCGAGGTTGAGCGAGACGCGAAGATTGTGCGAGTGCTGATCGTTGAAGCAGCACGTCTCATCAACGACCCGTGATGCCATCGGTCCGTGAGTCAGATGCGCCACCATTCGCGGACTCGTCCTTCCCACCGCCCGAGAGATAGTCAGCACGCTCTGCCTCCTCATACTCGTTAATCAAATCCATAACGATCTCCCTGGAGGTGTCGAATTCATCAAGCCCATCTCGGAAGGTCTCATGGCGTTTGTACTGTTCCAGGAAGGCGTTTCGCTTGCGCAATCTGTCGTATTGGGAAACGATTCGCTTGAACAGCGTTGCAATACCGGTATGATTCGCAAGCATCAATCCAGATACTCGTGAAGGGGCGCGAGAGGTGTAGGGTGGTTGAGTGTAAGGAGATGTGCGAGTCAGGGCAACTTGGATGCTGGCGGGGCCCCAGGGAATGAAGGAGGCAAGATTGCGCTCTCTGATACGCAGCAAAGATTTGTGGACCTAGTCACTGTCAGTTTCCTTTGTCAGTCTGAACATCAGTGCAACTTACGTCGGTGGGGTCTGCTTCGCCCATGATGATATTCAGAACCGAAATGTAACAACTGTTCTTGCTTGGCTTGGCAGAGACCATCTGGTTCTTCGGTTGGAGCAGGCGCATCATGACATCCAACACAGTTGTCTTCCGGACTGTCTTGGCAGCGTCGACATTGTTTCCGGTGAATGGTGTGAAGCTTGTCTGGAGGAAATGGCAACGTGGAGTTGGGATCAAGCTGGCTACAATGCCCACCAGGTCGTTGTGCATGTAACCAGGGTATCTCAGTGTCGTCGTGGCAGCTGACATGACGGTGCTGACAAGCTGATTTGTCTGCTCAAATGAAGGCTCCTGAACGTGCAAAGTGTCTGCGGCGATCCTGGATAGTGCGCCATTGTCGAGGACTGTAACAGCATCGGCGTTTTGCGTCAATCTGCGCAGTGCGAGCAGCGAGTTGTACGGCTGAACGACCACATCACCAGCATTCTGTGTGTCTGGAAACACCGAATAGGTCTGGATGATCTTCTTGGGGAACCGGTCGTTGAGGCGCTCAAGCAGGAAGGAGCCTAGACCAGACCCGGTACCGCCAGCAATCGAGTGCAGCAACATGAAACCCTGCACTGATATTTAGCCATCGGCGAAAGACCACTGTCCCTTATAGTTCTGACCTCAAGGCTGTCGCTGCCATCTGCCTCACGATCAATCATGTCCAGCACTTCGTCCGAGACCTGCCCGCCCATGTCGTATCCTGCAGCCCAATTATTCCCCGCGCCGGTCCCCTCCTTGTGTACGTAGAAGTTCTCTGGGTTGTAGATGTTCTTGTACGGCCCACTGAGGATGCCATTGATCACTCTTGGCTCCAAGTCGAGCAAGATAGCGCGAGGGATGTATCGCGTGTCGTCGGATTGGTAGAAGAAGACATCTTTGCGGTCGCCGCCCTCTGTCGCGAAATCTTCGAGGTTTCCGTTCTGGTTGATGCCGTGCTCCTGGCAGAGCTGCCGCCAGAATTGTGAGCCAACTAGGGGAATGTCAGTCTGCGACTGGGGAAAGGTTCAGATTGAAGGGCCTACCGCTGTTGCCGCACTGGCCTGCCTGGAGCGTGATGATCTCACTGGATCTGTCAGTATCTCACACTCACGATTTACCGTATGCAATGTGTACTGACCGCGGCATCTTGGCCTTTGCGTCCCTTGAGTACTACTGTGGTGCGGATGTGTGGGAGAGGTGGTGTGAAGTGTTTCTCGGAAGACGCGCGCGATGTTTGGCGCGGGGTCCTCGTCGCGTGCCTTGTTCCCTGCTCCTGGCTTCTATGAGAACATGGCGAAGGCCACCTTGACCACACTTCACATTCTCGTGGGAGACAAACATGGCCCTTTGATATATCACGACTCGCCTCCCATTTTAATTCTGATGAGGATCCGCTATGCTACGCTGTGCTCTCACAATGCACCTAACAAGACCGACTAGCACCAGCGCGTGAACGAGGTGAATCTAGACAATCACTCCTTCCGCACCTTCCGGATCAGATCCGAGTCTTTCACTCGGCGCCTGAACAACCAAAAGAATGCCATGACCAGGATGTATATTCGCAAGACATCGAGAATCGTCCGGAAGCCCACCGGTATCAGAGGCTCTTTCGCAAGCTCGTCATATCTCTGGCAAACACTATTGAACAGACTCGGATCATCCGTGATGACACCGTCTACTCGCCGCCGAATGCACCACTCCATCTTGTCCTTCTCGTTGACCGTCCAAGCCAACAGCTGACGGTGAAGCTTCTGCTGACAGTCATGAATGAAACCTTTTCCCCCCGGTGCCATAAGCATGTGCACCATCAGGTTGAAGCCTACGTTGGGCACACTCTCAAACTGCCGAGCATACGAGATCTTGTATCCAATGTGCATTACCGAGAAGCCCAGTAGATGCCTTTCCGCTAGAGCAAGGTACTTGGCCGCCCAAATACCGAGAACTATGCGGTCCTTCCACGGTCTTTCCGGTGACGGCTTGACGCTGTTGATTGTCGAAGCTATGAGACGCATCACATCGTCTGCTTGGTTGTCAAGTTTGATGTCCAGAAGCACCCAAACATCCTCCAAGCCAGGCTGAGTAAGATACTCGAGCAGATCCAGCAGCCGTGGCATTGGAACGTGTGGAGGAGCAAGAGTCCTCAGATTCTTGATATCGTCCCAATTGCTTTCCAGGACACGGTCTTTCTTCCCGAAACACCGCTTCAGCGTCTGATCATGGCTAAGGACCACGACATCATCCTTGGTGAGGTGGACATCGGTTTCGATGGCCTTGGCGCCTGCTTTCAAAGCTTCCTCGAAGGCAAGAAGTGTGTTTTCCGGGTACTTCGCCTTGTAACCTCTATGCGCTATGCATTGCGGCATTCTTCTCCCTTGCCTGTCCATGGTTGCTTTGGCAAAAGAAGGGACCTGGAAGACAGTGTCCTCGGAGATGGCAACTGGTGAGTCCAGACTTTCAACACCTGGCTGAACGACCACCGGGGGCACAATCGAAGGCCGGCCAACTGGACTCTGTCCGGCACTGGAGTTCGCGGCCATATTGTAGGAACCGGAGAATTTCCTGTGCTGCTGCTGCGCCGCATGGGATTTGAAGTGAGTTGGACCCAGCATGCGGCACAGCGCCCTTGTCAGATCGACTCTTCTAATAATCTTGGCGACTCTTTCTGTGGTGGGCAGAGTGATGACTGATCAGTCGCGTGAACAGAGATAAAGGCTGCGGACGCGTGGATTCCGACACATTAGTGGACGCACCATCACAACGGCTCCGAGGTTCCTCCCAGCCTCACGGAGCGATATCTGCATAGGTTGGGGGAGATCAACACGAATTGGGCAGAAGCTCGACGTTCGCGCGCAATTGATCGGGTGAAACGGCACACTCTCTCATCAGCAGCTTACATTATTAGGCGCGCTCCGGAGTGACGATAACGCCTTGAGGGGTCAACACACCACACCCTCTTGCGCTTCGGCGAAACACTGCATAGGAACGACCTCACTCACGACGAATCAGAGTGGGGCTCGCGGTGCGAGGCAGAGCCTCGGGACTTTGGTTAAGCTAAAATTATGCTTAGGATTCAAGCGTATTCATCGTCGCACAGTCGCGCCACAACCCCGGGCTCTCACGTTGCCGAATGCACGTGGTTCTCGCAACGTGACAACTCTTGGTGTCTTGGTGTCTTGGTGTGTCAGATCCGCGAGGCCCTCAGATCTGGTGCAAAGTCATGTCTCCGTGCGAGATGCTTACCAATTGAAATTCTCCAAAGAGGACATAGCTGGAGTCGGACCCCTGGGCGATCTGAGGGCATGATTGCTCTGTTGAGTATGTTCCCACGACATGAATACGGCATTGTCCCGTACATATGAAAGGAAGAAATCTCCTGTTGCTGAATGGGTCGACGCGTACTTCCCAATCCTCAACAACGTCTACCAGCTTCGAGTCTCGCATCGAAGGCGAGCGATATCTTCTTGCAGAGGTCTTCACACCAAGCAAGGCTACCTCCATGAGGTGCCTCGACGACAGCGCGACCAGAGAGGATGTCTTTAGCCGGCAGATAAGCGTTTCATGAATGCCATTTGCACATTGAATCTTGGTCGACGTAGACTGCGGACTAGTCCGTAGGTAATTGGTCCTGCGGTTTGCACGGTGTGTGCCACAAAGCAAGCACAGCAAGGGCTGTTTTGGAATTCGGCTCGACGGCAGACTCCTGCGTCCGGCGACGACCATGGAAGAGAAGCGAGCGTGCTGATGATTGACCGGGCGTACCTAGCTCCAGATGGATGTTGTTGGTGAGAATTTCAAGCCGACCCATTGCGTGCTCGGGCCGTCGCCCCTCCGGCCTCGGCTGGGCTTTCATCAGTCATGTAGATGAGCGTCCTTTCATTACCTCCACGTCGGAGTGCAGAGCGCAGCCACCACTCTCACTATCTTGTTGCGGAAAACTTTCATGGCCGAGTTCCCTGCGCTGGCCTCGCCAGCCTTCGCCCCCATTGCCTCTCCCGATCCGCAGCGCGGTGATAATCACAGCAACCACCATGTCTCCGCATTCGATCTCGACCCCGACTTCTCGACCAATTCCGCTGCTCCGCCCTTGGTCTCTCCCGCCCTCACTCCTCCGCGCACTCCCCTCACACATGGCCAGCGATATGACAGACTGCCCAAGAGCGTGCCGCCTGAGCATGCCGTGGGACAGTCCGATCATGAAGCCCCGCGACTTCTGGAAACGCTACCGGAGGTGCATTGTGAAGTGAGGGCGAGAATACCGACCACCACCGGACAAGAGATGTTTCTGCACTTGTACCACAACAATGCAGATAACAAGGAGCACTTGGCCATTGTATTTGGACCGCACATCAGAAGTCGGAGTCTTGACGCTCCCCGGCCAGGCGAGACAGAGCGGGATCGCATGATTCGCGGGGCTTACACTGGCACTCTATATCCCGGGCGAACACATAGCAGATTGGAACAGATACGGCAGGAAGCGGGAGTCTCTCCAACCATCGCAGCAAGTCCATCGTCACAGAGCAGCGCGTCGCAGTCTTCCTCTCCGGTGCCGTCAGACTTCTCTGCAGTTAATTACGACCAAACTTACTCCTACCCCGCTGAGCTTGGCCCGCCTCTGGTCCGCATACATTCCGAGTGCTATACTGGTGAAACCGTCTGGTCTGCAAGATGCGACTGCGGCGAACAGCTGGACGAGGCGGCGCGGTTGATGTCTCTACCTTCACCGACACCTAGCGGGACACCACAGAGCGAGAATCCTCCAAAGCTAGGGTTGCCTTCATCCGGAGGCGTAATAGTCTACTTGCGGCAGGAGGGCCGTGGCATTGGCCTACTCAGCAAGTTGAAGGCGTACAATTTGCAAGACTTAGGTCACGACACGATGGAAGCTAATATTCTCCTCCGACACCCCGGCGATGCGCGGTCGTACGGTCTGGCCACTGCCATATTACTCGACCTTGGACTGGGTGGAGACAGAGGCATACGTCTGCTAACAAATAATCCCGAGAAAATCCGGGCCGTGGAAGGGCCGAACAGGGAGGTCCGAGTCGTCGAGCGTGTTCCTATGATCCCACTGGCGTGGAAGAGCGGGGGGAAAGAAGGAATCAATAGCCCTGAAGTGGAAAAATACATTTCGACGAAGATTGAGAAATTCAAACACATGTTCTCTTCATAAACCAGAACAGCATAGGGCGACGACCATCGGCAATACGTCCCAGAGGAAGCTCTATGCTTCAGGCTGAACGATTCAATTGTCAACGTCGGCTGCTTTACTCCTGGCTCCTGCTATATCAGCTATGAGCAACATCAAGCTGGGCTGTGGCGACAGCTCGACCTTCTGCGCGCAGACTTCGCGATGACCGTTGCGGTGACCAAGCTTGCGCTTTACATTCGTCAATTTGAGGTCGCAACAAGGCTGACTGATCGACCCAGACCGCCTGAGAGCTTTAGCCTACGGAGCCATCGGGCTTCGGTCAGTTCTCGAGGGGAAACATTGTAAATATCTGTACAGATTTGGACATGCGGAGCTGTGAACGCTATTCTTTTCGAGGAGTCCTACCTTGTCCCTCCTCAAAGCATGGACTTTGGGCGGCAAAATTGCTTGAGTTCTGACGATCTGGCCGCGCAGCAACTGCAGTACTTATGCCATAATCAGGTTACATACAGAGAGTACCACGCTTGAACAGGACGCAGCAGAGACCATATTTTTCAGGTTCCAGATTGCCGTTTCTCTTGCAGAACTTTCCATATGTCTTCGCCGCAGCGTCTTTCGCCAGCGCATAAAGTGCCTTGTTTGCTCCGCACCAGGCAGGAAGCTGACAGCAGTGGTTGAAATGGGCGTCTGCGCCCACGAGATCTCCCTCGCCACTGAGCGCCGCCGAGCAGATGGCGAGAACGAGCTCTGTAGGTAGCATTTCCAGAAAAGACGGCTGGTCGCGTCGACTGAGGGGGATATCCCGTGTCATGCGGAAGTCGCCAAGGTGATTGATGGTCAGAAACGGAATGGGACCAGGACATTTTTGCGCGCGTGAGACAACGGCAAGACCCCGTACGTCCACCATGTCCCAGATCGCTCGCAAACTCTACTCGTCAAGCAGCGTCCGCGGCGAGACTGCGAGGCCGAGCATGTTGTCCCCGATTTGGACCTGGGACTCCGTTCAGTCAAGGGCGTGCTTGCATGGCATCTCGGAAAGACTGACCGTGTTGATACGAGAGCAATTGTCGTGACGTGTGAGCAAGCCCGAGCAGTACACATCGGTGCATTGAAGCTGAGCTCGGACGATGGACGCAATTGACAGGCGTAGCTCCAGAAAATGCGCAAAGCTCATGCCGTCTCGAGCAGAAATGACATATATGAATGGCGCCTCGCTGGTGTCTTTGAGAGCTTTGAGAAGCTCCATTGTGCCCCGATAGAACATGCCGTGTATGTGTAATGTGGAGGAATGACAAGGCATGGAGTTGTTGGATGATGGCGATGAGTTGGATGGCAGCTGCAGAAATTGCGGGCTTGTCTCGAAGCTGGGTTGCTTGTTTCCCTTTCCGTCATATCGAGCCGCCACTCTCTCGCCACTTCTTGATCCTCCGCTTGATATCACCTTCGCTGCGTTGCATGTAGTTGATCTTCATGTCCCTCGCCATCTTGCCCGTATCATCGCCGTACTTCCGGACCAGCTCTTCAACAAACAGACGCTCGCCCTCCGGCTGCTTGCGCTTGTACTTCGCTGCCGACTTACTCGCATGAGCTTCCAACTTCCTCACCGTCTCCGTCTTGGCCTCTGCACCTGCCTGCGCGGCGGCCCGCTCGACGTTGCCGTGCTGATTGCGAAGATTCAAGGCCTCATCTTCCGAGTCAGAGTCAATTTCATTGAGCGGATCGTTCAAAGGATTCGGCTTTGGTGTGTGCTGGTCCAGAACACGCAAGATCTTGCCAGTCTTGGGGTCGCGCTCGATCTTGGCTTCCGTTACGTCCAGCTGCTCTTTCCTCTTCGACGCGGTCGCAATCTGTAGCGTATCCTCCTTCTCTTCCTCCTCTCGGTGCACATCCGAAGCTTTCTTTTCTACTCCACCGGTGATCTTGTTCACCCTTGCCGTCAAGCCAAGTCGCCTATAATTTTGCGCGAGCGTCTGCGATTTGTCCCAGTTCTCGGCGATGATGGGATGGGTCAAGAATCTGCCGATCTTCTTCGACTTTGGCTTGTGACGGACTTTACTGATGCTGGATCGATTCTTTCTCTTCTGTAGTTCGCGACCCATTTTGGCTGCAAGGACGTCAGAACGGTGGTGCTGGTGTTGGTGGAAAGTATCGATCACAGGCAAATCGAAATTTCGAGGTCGCGGAGATAGGGTTTCGGCCGACCTTCCGATCTCGGACACCTAGCTCCAGCTGTCTCCTCCTGTTCCTGTCGTGTCTGCATATCGCCCTCATCCTCTGATTGAGTCACGGACAACTAGATCGACAATGATGCCTTCCAGAGGATGCACAATCACCGTCTGCATTGCAGTCACGCTCTTTGCTTACACCGTCCTGGCGGAGGTGGAGCCCAAGATCTTCAATTCCAATGTCGCGTCTCTCAGCACTCAGGAGATCGAGGAGCAGCTTCAGGTACTTTAGCTATGCTACAACACCTGTCTGTAACATATCGATTGACATAGATTGGCTGACGACGATTGAAGCAATGCCCCATTATAGAAGCTCTTGTAAGCCACAAGACCGAGAATGAGCCTCCAACGTCCTCTATGCTCCAGCAGGCGTTCCGCGTGCTCTTCCCGTTCGCCAATCCCGCGTTCAACGCCTTGATGGGAACACTCTACATTTCTGGCCCTCCAAACTTTCTTCTTGCCCTTTGCCCGCCCAACATCGATCCGAGCAGCCTCAACGTGATGGTGGCATTTGCAGTTGGAGGGCTATTGGGCGACACTTTGTTCCACTTGCTCCCTGAGATTTTCTTGGGCGAAGTGCCGGAGGGAGAAGTAAGAGCTGTGCTTGTAGAGCCCAACAAAAACCTTTTGCTTGGCGTGGCCATCATGGTGGGTTTCGTCACGTTCGTGGCTATGGACAAGGCACTCAGGATCTCCACTGGTGGAGAGGGGCACACACATGAGCACGGACACAGTCACGACAGCTCCAACGGCAACATCGCCGCCAATGCATCAACTACAGGCTCCTCCACAGATGAAAAAGACGACTCGACGCTCCGTCAGCGAAAGCAAGATCCCTCCAAGAAGGACGTTGCAGCTGCAGCCTCGAAAGAAGATCCGAAGCCATCCGTCAAGCTGTCAGCATATCTCAACATTATTGCTGACTTCACCCATAATATCACCGATGGTCTTGCCATGTCTTCTTCCTTCTACGCCAGTCCAACCATCGGCGCGACCACTACTCTTGCTGTCTTCTGTCACGAGATTCCTCATGAGGTTGGAGACTTTGCTTTACTCATACAGGGCGGCATGAGCAAGCAGATGGCCATGGGTTTGCAGTTTGTTACCGCTCTTGGAGCTTTGCTTGGCACAGTAATCGGTATTGCTGTCCAAGAGTTTGGAGGCAATTCTAGTTCCGTCGCTGCTACTGTAGCAAGCGGGAATACCGGCTTGTTTGGCACAAGCTTGCAGTGGGGTGACATGCTCCTCCCATTCACTGCCGGAACATTCCTATACGTCGGCACGGTTGGCGTGATCCCTGAGATTCTCGAGACTGGACCGAATAAGATGAAAGAACTAAAGTCAACTGGCCTTCAATTCCTGGCCATCGCGGCTGGCGCTGGAATCATGTTGGGGTGAGCCGTTACTTCTGCCTTGGCTACGATGCATGGGAAATTTACAATTACTGATCTACGCTCGCAGCATTTCTTGGTCGTGAAGCCCACCCATTGCTTCGGGGAATCATGTCAAATCGCTTCTTGCGGGCCCCAATCTGCCCACTGAATTACCTTTCTTCCTCGCCGCACGTGACTCTCGGCGCTAACGATCTCCTATCAGTTTCTCGCCTCTCCTGCCTTCTCCTCGTCTGTTTCTGTCTCATGGAACTTCAGCGTCTCCCCTCCCGGTCCCTCCTCCTCGGTCTTCTCCAGCTTGGCGCTTCCCTCCTCTGAAGCTTTGCCAGACTTGAAGTACGTCAGGACACGATCGCTGATCGATCGCGGTAATCCCGTCAAGCCTTTCTTCTTAGTCTCCTTATCTGGTAGGGCGTCAGACTCATGGGCCGCGGACTCGCAAGCGCTTTGGGCGAGATTAGCGGACTGGCTCTCGGTGGCTGGCGAAGCTTCAGACCACAGTTTGCTTGAGGGCGGTGGTACTTCGAGCGGCGGCGCTGCATCAAGCCATGGCGGGTGCATCGCGAGCGGGTTGAACTGCGGGACCGTCTTCTTCTTTGGCTGTCGCTTCGCGCTCGGCATCTTTGCGATGGTGGGAGTGTTGTGTGATGCGTGGTGTGGGGTTGGTGGTACGGGCGGAGAAGCTGGTACGACGAGTTTGTGTCCTTCTCGAGCACTGACACCGACGTTGATCAGGAACGCGGCGCGATCTGTCCTGTGGAAGTGAGGTGCAGCACTATTCACATGTGACGACAGGGATTGTTTTGACTTTGCCGCTTTGGGAAGGTACGATCGAGTTCACACGTTTTTGGAAGCAGCGCTAACTAAGCGAATAACGTGACTTGACCCTTGAGGTGGCCGCCCCGTAATCCTAAGGTACTGCCAATGCTCACCTCATGCCATTGGCTTGCAGCCTACAGGAAGGACTGCATACCCCCTGTCTGAAGTCCATGTATCACAGATCTAGGACTCGACTGTACGTTAATTCTATTCGCACCGCACCGGGAAGGCTCTCTCACCTGCGACATGTAGACGGCACGGTGTCTAGACTGCAGGCCAGCAGACACTTGCAAAGGTGCATTATGGGATGCGTACTGATGCAAGATCAACTCACCAATGCAGATTCCTGACCAAGCCCAAGACAAAAGTGCCTTTCCAAAATTCCACAATGGCAGAGGAACACAAAGGATCACGCCTCACTACAAGAATATGCAGAGTGTCTATATCCACGAAACTCTCTCAACATGCTGCTGCGTCTGCGCAGGCGTACGCACTGGTTTCATGCCTGAACGCATGTTTCCAAAGCATCTCTGATCTCCTGGTACGATATCTTATACATTGTCTTGTACCGTCCCGAGCTGGCCGTGGAAATTGACATTTAAGGAGGTGGATGCCATCCTCCTCCATCTTCTCTGCTCTCCAGAACACTTCGCACTCGACGATCTCCTGCTCTGCAACCCAACTTTCTACGAAACGTTGAAGGACTGCCAGCACGCAACCAATCAGGACTAACCATTTCTTACTATAACAACAAGCAGCGCGGCAACGGCTATGGCAACAGTAGCTATAGCCGTCAGGATCCAAAAAACATCAAGTGCCACCATTGCGGAAACTTTGGCCACATCCCTTCGCACTGTCCAGATAAGAACGACGGCCAGGGTCGTAAGACTGCCGCCGACACTCGCGCCGGCGCTGCCAACGCGGGAGCTCGCATTCATTACAGCGACGGTCCGAGGTACAACTCGGGCCCAACGATCAAGCCGGACCTCCAAAAGGCTCTGCGTGATGCCAATGCCTACGCTTCTACTTTGGCTAGATCAAATGATCAGTGTCGACTTTCAAAGGCCAAGGCTGACAATGGTCTCCGCACCTCCTTCTTTGCACCAGATACTACTGCTTCTGTGGCTGCGAACTTTTCCACCGTCAATCTTCCCCAGAATGTCTACGTCTACAAGGTTGAGATGGTCAGAGCCTACACTGAGAAAGCCAGTACTATCCTCGTCAAGCGTTCTACGGATAGGAAGGCGGTCATGCGCGTACTCCACACCCAGGCCAATCTTGTTCTGGAGCTCCAGCTCACTCCCAAGACCTGGGTCACTGACGGTGATCTCATCTGGTCGACTCGCGCGCTGTTCAGCTCTGCGAACCTACCTCGTCAATTGATGAACTTGGTGTACCAGACTGAATGCGGTCAACAGCTCACCGTCGAGGAAGTGACCATCTCTCATCAACAGACCATTGGTGGACATATCAGCATGGCTGAGCTTGTCCAAAACACACAAGCCACCGAATTCCACGAGAGTGTCGCCGGCGTATTTGTTCGTGGTGTCAACGCCTTCCTGACGGAGCATGCTCGCAACACGGGCACTAACACACTTACCAGCGGTAGCCGCTCCTTTGATCACAACACCACATCGCCTCTTGGGAACCACGGTTTGCGAGCCCTGCATCTTTCGGCTCGTCCTGGTGTTGACAGGCTTCTGATCAATATCAGCACCGCCTTTACTCCATTTTATGGTCTCGATTCGATTCGGAGCTTCATCAATAGTTCTGGTCGCTCGCCAAATGCCCTAAGGAAGATCTTGAAGGGTGTCAGAGTGCGAATCGATTACGAAATATCCGGTGGCTGGCAGCCGGCTACGAGTTGTTACCGCTTCGTCCACGGCTTTGGCGAGCAGATCAATCAACATCGGCTGGAATCGCAGACCAAATTGTACGATTGGTTTTGCCGGCCAACAGCCGAGGAGCGCAGTCAGCCGCTCTATCCTCGCAACTTGCGGCCAAACCTCATGCAACCAGGTCATCTGTCCGTCAAGGTCTCGGTCGACCCCCGCCGGTGCCCGTCTTCTCTCGAATGGTATCCCGCTTCGGTGCTGGAAATTTTCGAATTTCAAGCGTTTCATGATGCACTCAAGCCCGATGAGACATCCGCCATGATCCAAAGCGCTCCATTCCAGCCTGCTCAGAATCGTCAACGCATCTTAGGACAGGGGCTTACGAAGGATCCGCGCGCCTTCCACGGCCGCGTCAAGGACGAATTGCGCGACAGCGAGTCTTGGCGTCCGTATCATCTGCGAGCGTACGCGGACCACGAGCGACGATCTCCTCCGATGAAATATGGTTTCCTCAGACGCAATCCGTGGCATGAGAGTTTGGACGATATCATGTTCTATCTGTGAGTCTGGCAGGCCCGTAGATCGTACTCGTGATGTTTTCTCAGGGAACAGTTTCGGAATGGTAGTACTTGGGAAAAACAATGCACTGACTATACACTCGGGAAGATGTTCATTTCAGAAGCCTAATTGATCGGTGGATGGACATTATGCTCGCTTTTTTTTTCTTCCTTCTCCTTTTTTTGAAAGGGGGTTGCGTTGCATATAGTAGGACTGGAAGAGAGCAACAGTTCCGGCGATAATAATAATAATAATAACCAGAACCTCTTCTTCTTCTCATCTTGAATAGTGGAAAGATGATGATAATAATAATAATAATACTAATAATACTACATTCGTAGCATCCTATCCTATCCTAGCCAGAACGAACACTAGTCACGACCCAACCACACCAGTCGAACAGTCGAACAGTCAAACAGTCAAACAGTCAAACAGTCAAACAGTCAAACAGTCAAACAGTCAAACAGTCAAACAGTCAAACAGTCGAACAGTCAAACAGGCGGAAACCTAGCGACGATGTCTGTCCAATCTGTCGAAATCCAAGGACGAGCTAGTAATAAGATCTTCTCCTCCAGAATAATGTCAGACGCCATCAATCCCCCGCTCCAACCCCAAAGGCGATCGACGTGCACGGACAAGAACATCACATGGCAAAGCAAAGGCAGACCCAACCCCCACCCCAACCACCCACGAAGAAGAAGAAGAAGAAGAAGAAGAAGCATAGCATAACAATAGGTAGGTAGGAGAACTTTTCTTCTCTCACGTTTTGGTATCTAGACGCCCCGCCGGACGAATTGTTTGGTTTCTCCTACCTATTTTCGATGATGATGAGATTGGGATACATTTTTTAGGCTTCAAATATGATTCACTCACTCGGCAGCAAGCAGTGGCTCTGTCGTGGTGAATCAAGCCGAAAGAAAAAATCAAGCTCTCTGAAAAGTCCATGACATCGCATCTAGTTCAACTGCCTCAGAAAATGATATGAGTCTGTTAAATGAAGCAAATCAAGACAGGCTGCTGATGGATTGCAGTCGGCTTGTCGCTCTATTACAGAGTTTCAGTCTTCGTTCATAGACAGACCGTTGGCCAATCATCTGGGAAGATGAAACTTATACGTAAAATTTAAAATCAGAAGGCGAAAGCGTACAGTCTAGTATTCGCTTTCGTGCACGTGTCTCCCTCGGCGGGAGGTTGAAGATTTTCCAACACGCTCACACAGCTATCTTGATATCATATGTCCATCCAACATCTACATCCTCGGCAAGAGCCTCTCCTATAGCTTTCTCATGTCGACGACGCATCGGATGCAGTCTCCTGCGTGCATGTCGTGGAAGGCGTCGTTGATGCCGGACAGGTTCTGCCGGTGCGTGATGAATTCGTCGACCTTGAGCTTGCCGGTCAGGTAGTCGTCGATCAATCCACCCATCTGGCTACGACCCTTGACACCACCGAAAGCACAACCCTTCCATACACGTCCGGTGACAAGTTGGAATGCTGTGGCGGATGTCAGCGTCTCTGAACACGGATCCACGAGAGATTGTACTTACGTCTTGTAGAGATCTCCTGACCAGCAGCAGCAACACCAATGATGATGCTCTCGCCCCAACCCTTGTGGCAAGCCTCGAGGGCGGCCCTCATGACGCTGACGTTGCCAGTGCAGTCGAATGTGTAGTCGCAGCCGCCGTCGGTCATCTCGATGAGTCTTTGCTGGATGGTCTCACCCTCCTTCAAGTCCTTGGCTGGGTTGACAAAGTCCGTACCACCGAACTTGGCGGCCCAGTCCCTCTTCGAATCGTTGACGTCCACTACGATAATCTTGGCCGCACCACGGCTGGCGGCTCCTTGAATGACGGAGAGTCCGACACATCCAGCACCGAAGACTGCGACATTGGCACCCTTCTCAACACCACCCTTGCCTGCCGTGATGACTGCGGCACCGTAACCCGTGGTGATACCGCAGCCCAGCAAGCAGGTTCGGTCCATGGGTGCCTGGTCGGTGACGGCTACGACGGAGATATCGGCGACGACGGTGTATTGCGAGAAGGTGGAGCAGCCCATGAAGTGCAGAAGCTCCTTGCCCTTGCACTTGAAGCGGGGAGTGCCATCAGGCATGACACCCTTGCCCTGGGTGGCACGAATCTTGCCGCAGAGGTTGGTCTTGCCCGACTTGCAGAATTTGCACTCTTTGCATTCTGGGGTGCTGTGTGGGCGGAGATGTCAGTGAGGATTCTCCCACACTTTGCGACTGTAGCGTTGCTGAAGTTCTTGCGGCAGGCCAGGCCAGACCAGGCCATCAAAGTCTCCCCAGACCCGGGGAATGCGGGGCGGGGCGGGGCGGGACGGGGAGGGGAGGGGAGGAGGAGTTGCTTACTAGAGTGCAACCACGGTGTCGCCCTTCTTCACGTTGGTGACGCCCTCGCCCACGCTCTCGACGATGCCGGCGCCCTCGTGTCCGGCAATGACGGGGAAGGCGCCCTCGGGGTCCTTCCCGCTCAGCATGTATGCGTCGGTGTGGCAGACACCGGTGTAGTAGACCTGTATCCGCACCTCGTGGGCCTTGGGCGGAGCGACCTCGACATCCTCAATGCTCAGGTCCTTGCCGGCCTCCCAGGCGACGGCGGCCTTGCATGTGATGGTCTTGCCCTCGGTGGACATGGTGCGGGGGTTCTCTCGGATATGTGCGAGGAGACGTCTCCGAGATGTAGATGGGTGGAATGCGAGAGCACCTTGATGGATGGATGGAGGGAGGATTGGGAGGAGCAGTGGAAGTGGAAGTTGGAAGTGTGCAATGCGAGTGTGGGATTGACTTTTGAGAAATTTGAGGAAGAGCTGTGGTAGGCAGTTGAGTGGAAGTACCTTAGCTTGAGGTAGCTGGGGGAGTGAGTACCTTAGTCTTTGGCGGGAGGCGGGAGGCGGGAGGGTACGTCAGGTGGGGTAAGGTACGTACCTTAGAGGGCAGAATTGTCCCGTGCCGGGCTCCAGTCATGCCCGCTGCTGCTGCTTGCCTGGATTGATTATTGGTGCTGCTTGTCTGGTCTGGTCTGGTCTGGTCTGGTCTGTCTGTCCCCGGGTCCGGATGCCGAATTCAGTCTGCCAGAGCTCGCGAGCCTCTCTCCATTACAGAAAGCTGGTCCGACGCCGCTGTGCCGCACTCCCGCTATTCCTCCTGTGCCCTGCCCTGCCCCTTCTTTCCTTCCCAGCGTGCAAAGCGGCAATCCTTTCCGTCTCACATCTGCTACCGTCATCAATCTTCACCACGACTTCGACTGCCTTGCGCGCAATTGGACGGGAGACCAGGCATACTGAGAGCTAATCGCCTTACGTACAGAGTCTACTCGTCTCCAAAAACGCCCGCTGTGGAATGTACAACTACATCATGCTGAGACAGGCGCGCCCATGCGCACCCCATACCATTTTCAACCCTCCCGTCCTCTGCTTTCTGTCGCAATCTCAACATGCTGCGCCAAGCCAAGCCTCTCCTTTGCTCTCGAAGCTGTTGCCGCACCCCATCCGTTCGTTCGCCATGCATTATTCCGTATTCGTCCGACCGCGCCTGGGTTGTCGTGACGCCTTGCCTGCGCGGTCTCGCTTTTCGCCTGAGCTTACTTAGCACTCGGCGCCAGATCCAGCGCGCGAGTTCATAAGCAGAGCAACAATAAGTCCGTAGAGACCTGCAAAGCGTGTCAGCGATCGAAACGTTATTACAAGTCAGAAAATGCCCCCTCCCGTTACTCACCCAACACTTCGGCGAAAATGAGAATCAAAATCATTCCCACGAACAGACGTGGCTGTTGTGCGGTACCACGCACACCTGCATCTCCAACGATACCGATGGCGAAACCTGCGGCAAGACCAGCGAGACCGACAGACAGACCGGCGCCCAATTGGATGAAGCCAGCGAAGAGCGAAACCTTCTGCTGCAGATCGTTGGAGATCAGGACAGACACGACAAGACCGTAGATGGCAATAATACCAGCCATAATGACTGGAATGATGTCTGCACGCCGTATCAGTAATCCGCAACGCCTGTATTGCTTCATGTGGCGGAGTGCTCGACTCCAGCCAATCGAGCACATGTATCGCCGTAGGAACGTACTCTTTACAATCAGATCAGGTCGGAGAACACCCATCGATGAAATACCAACACCGGCCTTTGCGGTTCCGTATGCCGCACCGAAGCAGGTGAAGACGATGGCGCTTGTGCAGCCCATCGCACCGAAGAAGGGCTATTGACCATGATCAGCATTTACTTCCATCATCTTCCATCGTAGCCTTGTCATCTTTCAGCTTCTTTCATTCTTCTTTGACCTCTCGGTGGGTATGCATTTTGCTTTTCGAAGCTCCGAGGCTAATTTGTCGCAACATAACGTGGGCTAGGCTGGGGCAAGCCAGGAGAAGCTCGTCTCTCGCGGCGCACTCTGGGGGAGCACTTACGGCATACACGGGGCTATGAGAAACACAAATGTCAGCTCTGAATTATTCTCAATCACACACTGCGTGTCCTTTGAGACTTCCGTGCAGCTCTCCAGGACGTTTGCCGCCCACGAGAGGCACCCGTATGCCTAGGACAGCAGCCTGGGCGGATAGGACGTACCAGAGATCTGTAGACATCGTGACGGTATTCTGTGCGAATGAGATTTGAGCTGGAGATTCCGTGGGAGGTGCTTCGAAGATGTCGTGCCGATGGGTTGATGGCGCTGGTATGGAGAACTGGGAGCTGCGTGTTTCGATGATGAGACAAGCTCGCTCGCAGACGTAGACTGCGGCGGCTCGGACCTTGCCGAGACACGTGACTTGTAGACTTCAGCTCTTCGATTCTCATCAGTCATCCGACACAGCTACAACTCTCTACCTTAGAGCAAGTCAGCGCTGGGAAAACTCCGGCAGTTAATCTCAAGAGACGCATATACGAGCACAGAAGTCAAGAGCATGCTATGCCAGTCCACCTGAGTGGAGCCAGCTGGACAGACATTAGAGCGAAAGAACGACCACAAATTTGAAAAATACGGTGAGAAGGGGATCAAGTTGAAGTCACAGGCAGCAATACCACAAGAGAGTGGAATGGTCACAGACAACCTTCCCATCATGCGCTACATATCTCCATAGGTACCGTTACCAGCACACCCAACATCCATATGCAATCCTTGCGAACTCAAATGGCAGCCAGCCTGAGCTGATGCGCCAAAGCAGAAAGAATGGCAGCCAGCTTGACCTGGTACGCCACAGCAAAAAACACCGGCAGCCAGTCTGACCTGGTACGCCAACTACAAAAACTCCACAAGCCATTGTGATGATACAAAACGCAGCAAAGGGCAAAAATGGCAGTCAGCAAGGCCTGTAACATCAAAGACAAAAGTCGACATTTGCCATACAAGTCATGTTCAAGCGAGCTCGATCAGTAAATCCGCCGAAAACTCACATCCAGAACATCTTGTTGTTGAAATTGCTGTGCCACGGATTCCCGTTCACTCCCTGCCCACCGCGATTCCAGTCCTGCTCGATGGCTCCCCTTCGAGCATCCGAGGATTCGGGGCATTCATAATTCTCAAAGAACTTGTGCAGGTACAGGCTCACGCGCTCGCAGAGCTTGTCCGCGTAGTATGCCGGTGCGGCATAGGAGACAGCACGGGTCGTGTGCGCATAGACGTAGCAGAAGGCATTGGTGATGTTCTGCAGGCCGGCCTCGGTGAGTTTCATGTCGTTCTCTAGCACGAAGTAGTGCGTCGGCTTTGCGGTGCCCTTTTCCACGTCGTGCGACTGCAGGTAGAAATCAAAGTAGTATGGAGATGTGATGTGGCGGTCCACGGCAGTGCCGGGCATACAGTTGCCCGTCTTTTGGGTCTTGGGCCCGTTACTGGTAGGGAAGAATCGCGTGCTGTGGCGCTTGATTGCGATGACTGTCGTCATCTGGACTGGAGCCCGCATGCTTGTGCCCGCGACAGCCTGCCAGGCCTGCTTGATTGCGGCGATCTCGTGGGTGCGGACATCACCGTACTGCGTGTTGCCAGTGCCGTCACGATAGTACAGGATTCGTCGTGGCACGACGCCATTGCTCGTCTTCCAAGCTTGGATGCGCTCCTTTGCCATGCTCAGCATATTTGCAGCATCAATGTATTCATTGCCTCTGTCCTGTCGACGAGCGGAGCCAAGGAATTTTGCAAAGGAACCGTTGACGCTCCCGACCAGTGCTGCAATGGTGGGAGTACCTTCGGCGCTTGATTGCTTGGGATGAATCAGGTCGGCACCCAAGACCAAGGTGTCGCAGGTTTTGTTCGTAGACAGATCCTCGAACCCAGAAGACACTGCGTGATTCTCATTGCCCAGCCGTACGTTGATCTTCATAGCATTGGCAGCCATGTACGTCATGCGTCTGTCGGCCTTTGGTATACGCTCTTCATTGAAGACAATCGATGCTCGGCCGACCTGTTGATCCAAGACAGACCGAAATATGGCATAAAATTTGCGCATCTTCGCAGACGATTCGGGAAGTGCAAGTACCGTCAGCGACGCTCTAGCGGCCAGATCTGCCAATGTTCCTCTATTCGGCACAAGTTCCCAACTCTCAGCAACGGTCTTGGCTTTTGGAATGCCATTGAGATGATAAGCTTGCTCAAACTCCTTGATGTAGCCTTGTCCCAAATGAGGGTATCTAAGACCTTGAAGAGTGACGAAGGCTATACCATTGCCGAGACCCTCCTTTGTCGAAATGAATCTCATGCCTCGCGTGCTCCAGACCGCAGAGTCATTGACGTTGGGATTACCGTTGTGATATTGCACCTTTGGTGGATTGATCTTTCGGAATGGCACGGTCATCATTTGGCGCGTGATCGAAATTCCCGAAGACCGTACAATTGGCGGATCTGGCTGGTTGTGACGCAGACCAAGTGCTGGGAGGCCGTTGTGCACGATTGCCGCGTAGTTTTGGCTTGGTGTTTGGCAGGCTTGCTGAATCATCGTCTCGGTCATTCTTGGATCAAGCTTGTCTAATGTCCGCCGAAAGATCTGCCCGGGGATGACTTGAAGTTGATCTGGCAGAAACCAACATTCCTTCCCAGCTTGTGTGCTACCTGTGTTGACGCATATCTGTGACCCACCAAGACTACTCCCGGCAGCCTGACCGTATGCGCTCCTGAAGTGGTCCCATACTGACACTTTCTGTCCCGAGCGATCGATAAACTTGATGTCAGATGCCCGAGCGGTCGAGAATTGGGTGATAGTCTTGATGCGTCCTTCTTGCGAGTCCTTGAAGCGATCGGTCTCGCCAGGCTTGCAACGATCATACACGATCCGGACGCGCAATCCGATGAGATGCTTGTGGAGGGCGTTGCGATCAACTCTCAGAGCCAGGTAGTTCGAGACCAGCTGACTCCTGTAGAACGCGCTCATCGCTGTGCTGACATTCAGGAGCAGGTTTTGGTCAGCGGGCTTCACATTACTAAAGAAGCCTCTGATTGCTTCCATGCCCCACCCGTTTAGATTGTAACTGCTGTTGGGAGTAAAGAAACGGTTGTCCCCAATTCTGATAATCTGATTTGCCGAAGTCGTGTTCTTGTTGTTCTCATCGACTGCATGCCCAATCAAGATGTCTAGGGCTTGTACTGCACCAGTCTCATGGTAAGATTCGTTGGCGCCATGGACATAGTTGATCAGGCCGTCAAATTCGATCTTGCGCTTGAATCTGAGGTCCAGAGGCACTTCGCTAGAACTTGAGGTCTCTCGATCGAAATTCTTGACATTCAACAGGGCAAGCGGAAGGCTAGTCTCGTCATACCCAGGCACCAGTTCCTTCAACGCAATGATCTTTCCTTCATTGTTGTATGCGAAGGGTGCAACCGGACTGTTGAGGATTGCGCACTGCTCGATGGCTCGTTTGATGAGGACTCGCTTCTTCGGTTTGGACAGCTTGAGTTCTGAGTCTTGCAGACCTACGAGTTGATACTCATACAGGACAGATCCCTTTTTGACCGAAATGACAAAGTGATTCGTGAGCAGAGTATTGCGTGGATCCAGAACATGTTGTCCTGTCCGAGGCCGTGGTGCTCCGGTGTTGTTCGTATTTGGCAATTGTGGCACAGGGAGTGGAAGCCGCTGGCCAGAGGTCGATTGGCATGCACTGCTGCTAGTTCCGGAGGTGACAGCATCACAAGAAGTATCAGCAGTGGTATTACTCAGGACGTGGGCGGGATTCGATCCAGGCGAGGAGCGACTGTACACCTTCACCGCTGCATACTCCAGAAGTTGTTTCGTGAGCCGAATGTTCCTGTGCTTGTGATTTATTTTCCTGATCAGGACACGATTATGCTCTTCCATCTGATTGGCTAGCTCGCCGGAATCTCTCATGTCAGACGCCTGCTTGGAGAACTCCATGTTGTCTTCGACAACCTGCTTCAGTAACTGCTCGCAGGCGACGACATCGGGCAAAAGCGATGCTAGGGAATCGACATCGTCGCTGGCGTCCTCGTATCCCCACCAGAGGGTAGACGCGCCGAACTCATATGGCGGGTAGTCCTTCATACACGCATGCAAGTTGTCGAAGGGATGGCCCTTGAGGAGGGCATCTTCATGTGAGGGACATCGGAGGCAAATCACTTCGTAATCTGTCGTGACAGGTCGTGTGGTATCCATCTCCACGGTGCCAGGCTGTGGGCCATGCTCGGTTGTGTCTTCAGCTGGAACATCCATGTCGTTCGAGACGGAGAGCCGGCCCATGGCGGTAGCTGCGCTCTCAGAAGCCTGTCTACCGGTAGGGGCCCGCGTTGAAGCGGTCTTCTTCTCGCGTGCCTTCTTCGGTCCCTCGGCATAGCATACGTTGATGGCATGCTCGAGCATCTGCTTTGTGATCGTTCGTTCCTGGAAATTCACGTCGCCTGTGTTGGCGGCCTTCAAAAGCGCGTCGCAATCGTCATTGGTGTGCAAAAGGTCGGCCACGTCAGCTTCGGATCCCTCAGGAAATTGAGGCCAAAGATCACTCAATTGGTACATCTGACCCTCGCCGGCCGGGTTGAGCTGCAGACAGAACTGAGGTTGAGTCAGATGTTTCTGTGGAGGGCGTTCTATGGCTGACGGGCATCTCAGGCAATGTTTTCCAGGGACGCGAGCGAGTGTATTTGTCTTGGAAACGGGCTCAGAAGCCTCCGGAATAGCCGCAGGCAAGGGAAAACCACTCCGAGCCGCTTCTGAAGCTTCTTTGAGCTTTTCCCTCTGGAGCTTCTTTTCTTCACGACGTCCCATTTTGTGGAGGATTGAAGATAGACAGTAGACGTAAGACAACAGAGCTTTCTCAAATTCTTTCTGACGACTGTGTCTTGGGCGATGTAGAAGAAGAAGTGGTCGAAGGGTAGTCGGGGAGTAGAGAGGTATCAAGGTTTGATGTCCAAGCAAAGTCGAGCTGAGAGGCGCTGGAAGTAGCCTGCCTATGTGCTCGTGGCGGTACAAAGCCAGTACCGCTCTTCATTGAAGTCCAAGGCAATCCGTAGAGCAATCGATCCGAGGGGACAAGTTTCCTGAGAGGACAAGCATTTGTGTACCTGCAGGACCTGTTCGTTGAAATACAGCGTTGTTTGTTAGTTGGGCAAGCGAAACAGCTGGTGCATCCAGCCTAAAGGCACAGTAGCCGGCTTAGCGACGGATGCATTGGGATGTTGTTTGATTCTTTGGGCTGCACGCATGGCAGCAGAATTGTAATCGAGCATGGTGCGCTCTGAAACAACGCTTCTTCTAGGCGCATAGGCTGCATAGCGTTGCCATCCGCGCTCTTGAGAGTGTTTGTCGCCGCCAGACACGCGTAAGACAATGCCTCAACAAGCAGGGCTCCACAGAACTTACGCTCGCGTCCATGTTCAGGGTAAGGCCGACCTTGAGTCCTGAGGGTTGACGGAATTGGCGAGGTCAAGGAGGAGGATTCGATTGTAAGGCCTAGAGTAATTGCCGAACGCGGCTGGGTATTGGAAAGACTGTTCTGGTATCTATGGATCTAGTCGCGCTCTAGATAGTCTATTATTGACGCACTGCTGGTGCTTAGACCGATGCTGTTCCGTATGGCACTGCCGTAGCGCTCGTGATGTCGATGTAGCCGTAGTTAGCCATCTCGCTGTCCTTAGCCATCTTCTCACCCCACGTGCCCATGTCCGCCATGAATGCTTGCACATTCTCATCTTGCGAGAGGTCAATGGGCTCCTGGTCCTTGCCGACTTGTCGGATTTGTGTGCCAGCAGCAACGTTGGTGATGCCAAAATTGTCCTGGTCGAGCTTCTGCTCAATGGCACCCGCAACCTTGCCCTCTAAGATGTCTTTGCAGAGATGAGGCTCTTGACAAAGCGGCCTCGCGAGGCCCACACCGTCGACGGTATTTAGAGCATTGACCATGGCACCTACGGTCTTCAGACCGCCAGTGACGTATGTCTTCGTCTTATTGATAGCCGGTGCAATGAGGTCCGCGAATTCTAGGAAGAACGCCTCTCTCTTCTTGGTGCTGTCGCGCGAGTGGAAAGCAAGCTTCTCGTAGGTGCCACCGCTCAGCTCGACGAAGTCAAACTTGTTCTGTTCCAGTAGAGCGCAGATCTGCTTGGCCTCATCTGGGTTGAATCCCTTGTCCTGGAACTCCACGCTGTTGAGCTTGATGCCAACAATAAAGTCAGGCTTGGTCCTCTTTCGGATCTCCTGGGCAATTTCTAAGATGAGTCGTGCGCGGTTCTCCAGACTACCGCCGTATTGATCGGACCTGCGGTTAGTAGTGGGAGACAGGAATTGAGCGAGGAGGTAGCCGTGGGCTCCATGCAGTTGGATTCCATCGTAGCCGGCCTTCTCCAGGTACTCAGCGCTGTGTGCCCATCCCTCGATGAAACCCTTGATCTCATCAAGAGAGGCAGCGTGCGGTTTTGCGAACTTCATTCCCATAATCTCTCCCTCAAGCTGGACGTCTGAAGCAGAGACTGGGTTCTGCTGGATACGGCTCTCAACTTGTCTTCCAGGATGGCTGACCTGACCAACCATCAAGCTTCCGTGTGCCGTTCCCAGCGATGCCATCTCTTTAAACGCGTCAAACCTCTCGCCAGAATACGGAGCGTCCTTGGGGATGATGGGGTTTCCTGCAGCTTCGAGGTGATCGTATTCGAACCTGTGCAGTGTCAGACACATCCTCTTGGAACGACAGGGCATTGTCCACATACATGATGTTGCCCGTCAAAATCAGGCCAATTCCGCCCTCACCCCACCTCCTGTACACATTGATCAAGTTCTTGGATGGAACGCCTCGCTTCTCCAGGTTCTTAGGGTCCCAAGACGAGATACGCTCGGTCATGGCGCCTTTGAGGAAGCGGTTCGGGGCTGTCTTGCCGGAGAATTCGAACTTCAATGGCTTGCCCAAGGGCGAAGCATCCGCAGTGTCGGACTCGTATCTCTTCGAGGGAGCCATGGTGAAAGCTAGGTCAATGACGAGAACGTGAGTAGAAGGAGAGTGTGAGAGTGAGAGTGTGAAGTGTCGAGTGTCGAGTGTCAAAACAGAATGTCCAAACCTTCCGCTAATCAATGTGGACGCCTTTTGGAGGGGCTGATTAGAAATGCAACTCGCTGGCACGGCAGATGTGGTAAGGTACTCGTAGCAGGCCCCTTATTACCGCCGTAGGCGTAATTGTGGTTGGCAAGAGGGAGGGAGGCTAGAACACAAGAAGGACTTAAGTTGACCCTCTCTTCTCCAATGACGCCAGATGCCCCACCCTCGTCCCTCCGCCAATGACAGCAGTCTCCGCGATTCGGGCGAGAGGCAAATCACCATCCACACACACATCGAAAACGGAGAATCTACAGAAGAGTGTATATGCAATGAATATGATATGCAATGTATATGCAATGGATCTGCCATGAATATGCACTCAATCTGCCACGAATCTGCCATGAAGCTGCCATTAATATGCCATTAATATGCCATGAATATGCCATGAATATGCCATGAATATGCCATGAATGTGCCATGAATATGCCATGAATCTGCCATGAACCTGCAATGAATCTGCAATACAGGAAAGCTCACCAAATGAGCATCCTCGACATCACCAGTCACATGCGTCCGCCAGAATCCGAG